TCAGGCACACATGAGGCAGTTGGTCGGACATAGCCTGCAAGACCAGCAGCAGAGCGAATCTCATCCGGAGCTTCCTTACCCGCAACAGCAGCAACAAATCCAACAACGGCAGGTGTTCTTTTCATCTGCCAATGATAGATACTAGCGGCCGGAGCGGCCCGAACAAACCTTGCACTGGGCCACTGGGTCAGCGGCACGAATGCAGCAGCTGCCTGTCCACATGTGCCATATTACGCCATGAACCAGGAAGAGTGCAGCACAAATGCGTGGCCTCTTCCGGTCCCTCTAACCCTGCTTGCCCTGCTTGCTCTGCATCACTCCACATTGAACCTCGGAGCGTCAACACTGAATTGCGCAGATGCCATGCTCCTGGACGGGGACCCATTTAGCCCAATCAGTCTTGCCCATCATCACCATTTGTTCTCAAAAAGCTGAGGTCTGGTACGGATGCCCACGAGCATGACTGTTGACAGTCTGAGTGTGCTGCAAGCACCTGCACGAGATGCACTCCACTGCAAGCGCCCAGAACCACGTTCACTATGTCAACTTGTGTGTTTTGTCGTCCTCGGCTCGATAGGGGGGGTTGCTTACAGTATCTCATCGTGCGCCCACCCTGAAAATTCAACTTACTCTCCGCAGACCTTAAACTATGGCACTTGAATTGTCGACGTCGGCCATCAACTTCAGCTTGGGTGTGTGGATGTGTGGGTGTGTGGGTGTGTGGGTGTGTGGGTGTGTGGGTGTGTGGGTGTGTGGGTGTGTGGGTGTGTGGGTGTGTGGGTGTGTGGGTGTGTGGGTGTGTGGGTGTGTGGGTGTGTGGGTGTGTGGGTGTGTGGGCTGGGGGTGTGTGGGTGTGTCTGTGTGTTTTCGTTTGTTGCCGTGCTCTCACCCATGATCTCCCATGTGCTCTGGCAACGGCTCCGACTTCTGTTCCGTTTCTTTAGCTTTCCTTCGATAAGCTTGAAAGTTGATTTGGTCCAATACTGAATTTCATGCAAAGGACAGACGAGCATGAGGATTGTCGCGGCTCCACCGCTGGCTTCGTTTCCCCTCGTCAATTCTGCCCCTCGGGCTGTAATCCACGCTTCGTCGGACTGCCGGGCAAAGGCTTCGTCGAATACAACAGCCCATCGCATGCCCATCCCCTCCGCATGGCTAAATTCCGGTGGTCACGCAGGTCGTGGGAACTCAAGAACCCTACAGCGCTACACAGGGAAGAGCTTGCAAGATTGCGAATGCGTTTCTGCTTGCCCAGCAGGACACACTGAACTCCGGATATGCACTGTACACGAGAGGATGCGCCGATGAATTCAGAAGGCCATGTCGCAGAGCTGACTTTTTCGCAGCCAACCCACGCTTGAATTGAGAGGTCGGCGTTGGGTGATGTCGGGTGTGAAGATGTGTGAAGTAGGTGATAAGCAGTGAAGAAAAGGATTCTGGAATGGATTCTGAAGGGACACGCATGCGATGACTGCTGACGTGCACATCGGTGCGCATCCAAGCAAGGCCGCAGAGGCAAAGGCAACATATATTCAACATGCCACCTAGCAGACCCAGCAGGCCCAGCAGGCCTAGCAGACCTAGCAGACCTAGCATGCGTCGTGCCACGCCTCCACCATGCCATGCCCTGGGTGCGGCCCCACCAAGTGTTTGGGCCACTACATTGGCTGAAGCTTCGCATCAAGCTGAATTCCGTCTAAGCCCGCTGAGCCTCAAGACCTACATTACTTTGCCCGTGTAGTAATCAAGTGGGCACTGCTGGTATCAACAGTAGTTTGAACACTTCTTGAGCAAATTGCAAGGACTGCCGAAACTTAGCAACGCCCAGCACAGGAACTCCTTTTTGCCTGTCCAAGCTGGCAGGTCTGGTGAGCACGAGCTGAGCGAATTCGCTCACAAGGTCGACGTCCGGCGGCTGAACAATACTTGCGATGGGCACTCGGGCTTCGCGATGCTTCGTGGCAGTTGAAGACGCATCACCCTGAGCTCATGCCACCTGGTGCTATTCGATCGGAGATTGAAGTGCTTGCAATCTCGCCTACGCTACATCAAGCAGCATCTCATAGTTAGGCATCTCCAGCTGTGTCACCTTAGCTTCCTGCCGTAAAGATAGCAGCTAGCTGAAACTACGGCGTTGACATTGAACGTTTTCGAGCAGACCGCTCTCGGGTCCGGCAAAAGATGCTGCAAATCGATGTTGATGCACTCGCATTCTTTGCTAAGCCGCAGTCCGCAACTTCTTAAAAGTGCGAACGCGGCAAGACATTGCGAAAATGGCTTGAGAAAGCTACTCCCCTAGCAAATGTCTGAGCACACTACCATGGCAAAAATGGTGATAATATTACTTTTGTTCATCTGCTCGCTGTCACAAGACCGGAACAATCGATCAACAACAAGTCATTCGACGTATGCGTGTGATTGCTTTTGCGTGTATGTGTCTGTGTGTCTGTGTGTGTGTGTCGGAAGATCTCCAACATCGCTCCTCCGGGCGAGTTGTCTCAAGAGACATGGCATTCCCTGCCCGATGCCCCGATGCCCCGATTCCCCTGGCGGTCTCGACCCTTTCGGCTTGACAAAGACATCCATCCTTATGGAACTTGTGGGTCGTCACAGGGGACGTGCAAGCCAAAAAAGAAGAGACATAGGGGGATGGTACACCGAGTAGCAATCATCTGATCAACGCCGAAGTGAAACCTCTCAGCAATCCACGAGCTGCTACGTGTCTGATGAACGCCTCCTGCACACTTCACGACGGCGCAAGTAATTAAGCAATCGTGCATGGCCAAGTTCACGAAAAAAAACCGCCTAACTCATTCGCGCTACCACAACCCATAGAAAACATGCAATGAAATACGTTCCACTGCTCTTGCTGAACGAGGTGAGTTCGGTGCGAACAAGACATTTCTTCTCTCGTGAATCCCAAAACATGGCACTCTGATCTTTTTGCCTCTGGTCGAGGTGGTGGCATCGATGTGTCCAGATGCGTGCCTCGTGGTGCGACGGCGCACTTGCACCGCCTCTCCGCCCGACCGGAAAGACCCGTTGGCCTCTTTAAGAGCTGCTATAAGCATTCAAACTCGCACGCGAATGTCATTTTACATCAAGGCGTAACACGACATTCCGCGGCTCGTGCCCTTTGATGCATCCCAAAGCATCGCACCCCGATCCTTCTTTCCTCTGCTCGAGGTGGTGGCATTCATGCGGCCCATGCGTCCACGCGTGCCTGGTGGTCTTGCGACGGCGCGTCTGCACCGCTCCTCCTCGCCACCGACCACACAGTCACATGTGGCCGAAAAATCGACTGCAAGTGCGTGAGCCTATCCTGCTGCATATTCAAACCGCAGGTCGTCCGCAACGTTCATGTCAGAGGTCAAGTGTCGTCAGCGGGCAAAAGCTAAACTTCAGGCGCTGAGGTTTTCATCCATTCATGCTTTCAGGGGGTCCAGCCAACGCCGAATCAAGATCATCTGTATCGGATGCGTTCGCTCGCGCACGGGCGCTATCCCCGCAGCACCAACACTGCCGTGGCCACGAAGGCGATAATCCCTGCCAATCGGGCGGCCTCATCAGCGCTCAAGCTCCAGCTCAGTATCCCATCAATACGTGCCAACAGAACTGCACGTTCTTGCTGACAGGCAAAAGAACATCAATGGCAGGTTTTGTGTTCAGCGCGCTTGAAAAGTACATTTCAAGCGTAAAGCTTGGTGTTGCGATTCTTCACTTTTTGGGAAATAGGGCAGCCGGTGCAAAAAACCAGCTGTCAGGACGCGACTTCGGGGAAAAATCACGCGAGCACCTTGCCTGCACCCTGCCTACACCCTTGTCGCTCCTGGCTGCCTTGCTCTCCAGCCTCGGTGCCAAGGCTGAGCCGACGAGCCCATGGCCTGGCACGGCAGGTTGAGAGCCTGGTGTGACAACGAGGTGACAAGATGCGACATTCGGTCATATTATGTCACATTCATGGTCGCAATCGTGCGCCAATTCTCGCACTCGGCGCACCCAGGAGGGGCTCCGGAGCTGTCGGTTGCTGGGTGCGGGGGACAGACCCGCTTCGGCCCACCTGCCCACGAGGACATCCACTGAAGACAACAAGACTGTTCATTTCAGCCACTCGCTTTCAAGCTCTCCACCTTCGGAGCGATGATCGGTCGAGCAGAGATCAGCTGCTGCAACTGCTGCTTCAAGCGCACCTGCAACAGTCTCGGAGCAAGCAAGACATACAAACTCTCCGAGCTCATTGTTCCTCACATCGCTGCGTGCACATCACCCGCACTCTGTGCTGCTCCCAATCTGATCTGTCTGGGGACTCCACTGCTGGAGCACGGTTTCCTAGAGGCGGCACCGAGCGGCCGCCGCGGCCTAGTCAAAAGAGAGACCAAAAAACACAAACAAAGCGTGAACAGCGCGGGCTGGCTGCTGTCCAGAAATGCTGCGAACGAGAGAGTGCCAGTTTCAAGACTCTTTATCCCCGCCTGGAGCACTTGCTGAAGGGCTTGGCAACCCGTCACCTGTTGTTAGATCAGCTCGATCCGTGCTGCCTAGGGCCTAAGGCCTGTATACAGGAGGGTCGAGGGAAGGCCTGCCGGCGCGGAGTAGCCAGCAACTCCCTCTCCTTAGATTCATCGCGATCCTTGTCAACAACACTCCTCCCTGTCTTCTGTGAATTGACTGCATCATTGCATGATTCTCATTCTAAGCTCAACCACTGTCTTCCTGTCCGCTACAAACTTAAGACTCGTTCTTCGTCACACGGCTCTGATGTCTCGGTGCTGCTATGGGTCGGCCATCCTTCATTTCAGTGACTCCACAACCTTCAAGAAGGACGCCAACCAAAGCATCCTGCGTTGGCATTTACTCCCAGCATCTTCCAGCATCACAGAGCAACTACTCGTCGGCCACTAGCTTCGTGTCCAGAAAACGGGGAGGTTCTGCCCAACATGAATCATCCTGAAGCCCTACAGGCCCTATACAGTGTAGCCCGCCCAAAAAAGGAGAGCGTCCGGGCTCTCCTGAGCTGCAACAGTCGGTAACTCGGACGCCGGCTCATCACCAGCCTGCCAACTGAGCTTGCAGCCGCTTGAGAAGCTGCCCTTTAAGCAGCTTAAGCTTCCACCCTCTCTTTGAAGGCAATGCTCATGCTGTGTAGCACTGTGAACTTCAGTCTTTCTGTCTTCCACTCTGAAGCCCCGGCTGCTGGCAATGGATGTCCTCTTGAGTTGGCAGGACTGCTTCCGCCTTTGGCGTGAAAATGCGCAATGCGGAGAGCGTGACAACAGCGCTGGAGTCAGAAGATCCTACTCAGTCCTACTCCTATTGCCTCACCTCTGCCAGTTGTGATGAGTTACAGTTGTCGAACAATGAAGGGATGTCGCTTGCTGCGAGCCCGATGAACTCCAGCAGCTAACGCAGAGTTCTGCTTCGTGAAGACTCTTGGCGAAGGGTTGCGTCCATGCGAGCCTCGGCTGTAGCCGGCCAGCTTCTGGGGAACAGCGCCCGTGGTGGAGGTCGGCACCGGAGCTGTTGGGGCCGAGCTTCCAACTGCAACGTGATGCAAGGCGGCTGAGATTTGAAGGCTTATCTGTCGCAGTGCATGCCCTGCACACATTCAAGAAAAGCGCGCTGACCTCCAAGACGTCCCACACGTCCGGGTGCTGCCGGTAAAGGCTGTGAAGCCTGGCCCACAGGAAAGGTCTGCGGAAGACATAGACATAGACACGGACTCTCGCGTTTCATCACTCAAGGGTGGTACCGTAGTATTACTCGACTATTCAGTTCAGTCTTCCGTCCTCTTGAAATAAATAGCGGAGCCTCCGCAGAGGCGGCTTCCTTCACCGGCTGTCCCTCGCCGTTGCGCAGAATCCGCGGCATCACAGCGCGCATGTACCTGGCGACAGCACACGAGAACTTGGAGATGCTTGGAGATACTTGGGGAATATCGGAACAGTGCAATGCGCAAGGCGCACTCGCCGTCCTTGAACTGGATGTCAATCTTGCCCGTGCCAGGGCGCTTCGCCCTAGACCAAGACATCTGGGACGACAAAGGCCACGACAAAGGTCACTTACAGTTGGTGCTGGCCTCACAGTCACCGTCTCCCAGCCCAGGTTTGTCTGCACCTTGATGACATCCCCCACCTGCCCGTGGTGCGCACAACTCAGTGAGTTAGTTGTTTGCCTTCAGACCGTAAAACATACTGAAACTTCGCCTGCACGTCCACATACCTGTTGGTGTGGCTCCTGGCCAGTGCACATCTAAACCTTCCGTCCTGCTGCTCTCAAAGCCCGACTGATGAACATCAACTGAACACTGATGTCATGCTGCCATTGCAATGCTGTGGCTAGCCTCAAAGTTTCGTTCGAAGCAACTTTGAATCCACGTGCATCGACTCATGTCGAATCATTCAGCTCCTCTTCTCCGTGGGCTGGGGCTTCTCGGCTGGTGGCTCCTCAGCAGCCGCTCCTTGGAGGAGGCAGCGTGTGGGATTGTCAAGGCGTGATCCCCCCATGATACTTCGGCGACCGGCCTGTCGAGGCACTCTCCTCCTTCTCCTCGTCCTAACGTTAACGCTGAGGAAAATTTAAGGACACCATCGGCCAAAGCTCAACATGCCGAAGCTCTTCTGTTTCTGAAAACACCGCTACACTACCGGAACATACCGGAACCCTCCGAGGTCTCCCGCCTTGCCGGAGCGGCGCCTCGAGGCATTACGGCGCGGCCGGGCACTGCAGCCCTGTGCCAAGCGCTCCACAACCTCCCAGACTCCCAATCGAAATCGACTCAGGAGCCTCATGTGCCCTGCTTTTTCTTCTGCTCTTGCCATGCAGGGCGAAAAAAACACCGAAGCGATCTGCCTCACGGATCTCCTCGGCCGTGCGCTTTGTTTCTGGCTTCGGAGGCTCGTCTTTCTCGTTTCCTGCGCAATCCGAGCAACAGAAGCATGTCCGTGGGCTTGTCGGTACAGGAATCCATCGTCCGCTCCTGTTTTTGCCGAACCCGCCCGTGCCTTGCTGTCAGCCTCAAGTCAAGTCAGACTTTGCAGCAATGACGCGGAGCGCCAAGGCTTCGATGACAATGGCCCATGCCCTGTCTTCAATGGCCGGCTTCTCGACGGGATCGCACAATCTTACCTGCCGATGGGTGGTTACAACCCACTATGCCGAGGCCTGGCAATAGCTGAAGCTTGGGAGAAGCTTCAGAGATTCGAGATCCAATTGGGAACGTAGGAGAACATAAGATGCCAGTCATCTTTTGGATCGGGAATCACTTTCCTGTCTTTCATTCATATCCTATTCTTCACGGTCAGGCACTTAATGCAATAAGGCATAAGGTTTTCTCTCTGTGCCCGCGGGCTCGCAGGAATATACTAAAGTGACTGAAAGGAACCCCTGTAATGACATGCGATAACAACGTATGAAATCAACCTGCAAAAAGGGGCTAGAAAACCATATCATTTATGAGGCCCTTCTTGCACACCTTTCTAAACTTTAGAATTTTGGAAACTCAAATTTTTATCACCTACAACTTTCGTGGAGGGTGGCTGGACGGGATCTACATCTATGTGATTTCTGGAACTCGTGCAGCTATTTGCGTTTCAACTTGGGAGAAAAAGGATGATAGTCTTGACGAACAAGATGTTAGCTACCCCAAGTCGCAGCAATGTGGTGTCGACAAAGTTCGAAGAGTACCAAATTTCCGGAAAGATTACAGAAAGGCAGTCGGGTGTGCAAGACAGACTTTGGACGGAGCAGTGAACTTTAGTGGACCCGCAAAAGAGCTCCGAGACTGCTGAGGTGGGGAAGGAGCCACCCGAGCCACCCGAGCCATCCGAGCCGCGGACTGCTCGGCGGAAGGTGCCGCCCATGAGCATCTCCCAAATGTTGATGGCAGCATCATGGACCTGAAGTGCGATGGCTCTCTGCGGCTTGTGATAGAAAGGGAAGCAAAGAAGCACCATGAAGCACCTGCCAGTACTCCTTCTCCTTCTCCGGAGATGGATAGAGCCTCTTGTACCTGCGGTCGAAACTCGACATGTCCCGTGCTCTTTCGGCACCTTGCAATCACCAATAATCACCATACTTAAAATCGAGGATAGTTGCACCCGCTCCGGGAACTGCGAAGCTGTTGATCTTCCCATTGGGTGCGGAACAATGCAAACTCGCGCTCCTACAGACTCTGTCATGGCGCCAACTTGCGCCAGTGCACACGGGGCTGAAGAGCTTGACATGGTGTCCTGCGTCACGCGATCCTCGATGCAATACTTCTTTGCCATCCCCATGGCCTGAAAAATTCGTCGGAAACCGACTCTGACGCTGTGCAGGCTCAGAACTTTTAGAGCCTTACCGAAGAGCCGACTACGGGCAAAAAGAGGCAAAGCACATGGCTTCAAACCTATCTCTCATGCGGGGAAGGACGTGTCCCGCGGAGCACCCGCTGCTCCATCTTTTCTCTTGCCTGCGAGCAGAATGCATCACAAGATTGGCTGAAGGCATCCCCTACATCCCTTATACTATAAGCACAACGATTGAAGAAAACACGACAAAAGCATCAGCCTCTCGCTTCTTCTGTCGGCGAGCTTCTGGGTTCAAGTCCAACAAGTTGAAACTATCCCGAAGGACCTGCGCCAGTCTCGCAACGCCCCGACGCAACTGCAAGACTGAAAATACTGGACACCATGTTTAACAAACCGTCTCATTGTCTGTCCGGAAAAACGCGAACGAAAGCTCAGGACTTTTTCAGGCAAATGTGAAAGTGAGAAAGCTGCATGAAACTTGGACCTGGAGTTATCTCAAGAGCTGCGGTGTTAGTTCAAATTGAATCGCGCACGCCCGGTCGAAAAATATCATTCAACCATGGAACGTGACACATTGATGCACATGATCCCCTCCAAGAAATGCTCAAGAGGCGGAGAAATTATGCAGGCAAAGCCGGGAAAGACTCGAAATTCAATACATATCACGGCGCGTATGGGGGCAACATGGAAAAACTCCAAAAAGCGACACTCTCCCGGGCTTTAAGGATGAGAAGTTTGGTGGGTTTGTGAGAGACCGGAGCTGCACTGGAGACACGCGATGCGGATAAGAAGGTTGCCTTTCCAGCTGACTGTACCTCAAAGGAAAAGTATCGGGTGTTGGGAAAGGGGGTATGCGGCTCATGTGGAGAGATCTTCTGGTGTCCAGGCGGCAAATTGAAGTGGAGGACTTGAGCGGAGGTTGCAAGCTGCAAAGCCAGCCAAAGCTAAGCGACGGCGCAGGGCGAGGTGGCAGGACCCAAGCCACAGCCACACGGAGACGGCGCAGGGCAAGGGCAGGGGCAGGGCAGCAAAGCGAACTGGATCTGAGCTGAACAGGACAGCACACGGTTCGGGAAAAGAAGTCATTGGAGGCATCTTTAAGAGTGAAGCCGCAGAGGCAGGGCGGCTATGTGAAGTGGAGCCACAAAGCAGGAGCAAAGGCGAGGCGAAGCTGCAAGAAGCACTGGGATCCGCAGAAAAACACTTCGGGTGTCTGGCCAACTCCAAACTTTCGCATAGTAGCCGGCTGAAGATCCAAGGAAGTTGTGCACATGGTAGCAACAGGTGAAGGAAGTGACCTTGCCGACAAAATCTCGCTCCTGTTACCTGATGCTTCCGGGCATCCTGCCAACTCCAGCTGCTGCATTTTCAGGCAGTGGCCAACATCTTCTTGATATCCCATGAAGGTCTTCTTCAAGCCATACTGATCCTTTAGCCTGCACATGCCTGCCAACACCTGCCGTCGATACAACACACTTCTCCACGCCCGTTCAACGGTTTTAGAGCAAGCCGCCAACGGTTGCATTGATGCGTCGCTCAAAGTGTGCGGTCAAATCGCCATCAAGAATGTCGCGTTGTGGCAGCCCCTTGGAACCCACTTCCATTTCTGATCGACGGCACTGGGAGGTGTTGTGAGCCAGCCAATCCTTTCTCGCCATTTTTGCTAGGATAATCCATAGTGCCCGAGCTAGATCGCGATCTGGAAAGGAGCATGAGACTGTAATCCGAGATGAAAGAAAAAATGTGTGTGAGGTCGAGGAGGAGTGAGCCGAATCGACATGGAAACCCAGTCCTGAAGGATCAGCTGCGAGCTGGGGATGGGGACAAAGGAAGACTGAAAGACATGTGGACTTGTGACTTGGGTCCATGAAAAGGAGGATGCTCTGAAGCGGGGCGGGGATGCTTTCGTTTACCCTCAGGCCCTCAGAAAAAGACGCGGTCAGGCGCCGTGCACTGGGTGTCCCGGTGTCCCAGTGTCACAATAGCCCGCAGTCTTTCCGGTGTCCCGTACCCCGGCAGCGGCGTTCAGGCGGTAAGTCAGTCAGTGTCTCCAATGTCCTACACAGATTGCACAGTCGGCGTCTCGGCGTCTTTGGCCCCGGTCGGCGTCTTCGGTCCGCGCTTCCCAAAAGGCTTTGCTTCAATTTGCTTCCGTTGCTTCTCACTTCGTTCCAGCTTCGGTCTGGCCAAATCGGAAGTCGATTGGAGAACCTCCTTGTGTTTCACCCCGTAAAGCAAGCGCACGGTCTAGCACCTTACAAGCATCCTCACTCCCACTATGCGCCTTAAGCATGTCTCTGCTCATCTAGGCCTGTCGGCCGCACCCCACACTTTGCAGGCCTCCTCCTTCACCAGTCGATCCAGCTCCGACTCCGTGGCAAAAGAAGGTGCATGATTAACCTGCCAAGCATCTGCTATAGTGTGCCAGCGTTATTAAACTCACTGCTTGCGAATGACGCCATGCACAAATCACACGGCTCCTTCGGCTGACATCTCCCAGCGGCTGTTCCAACTTCTGGGTTGACTGTTGGAATGAGACATGCCTGAACATTTGGAGAGTAAGCAATGATCTAGCCGGGCCTCCAGTAGCCAGGGTTGGAGCTTCTGGTCTAGCATGACATCGAAGCCCAGTATCTGCGAAATGCCAAGCACTAGAGCGCACGGAGACGAGAGGTGACACAGTCACTTGAACAGCCTCAAACGACATGCCGTTGTACACATCGTCTGGCCTCAAGCGGTGCTTTGCTGACAGCATGAGCCACGCATCCAGTGAAAGGATGTGAAGGGTGCATCTGGGGTTCACACTGGCAGCTGTGATAAAAGTGTGACAAGCTCGGCTGAACAGCTATCAGGGTCTTGACAATCAAGTCCTGACAGAAGGCACGTCTCCCAACATGGATGTCCCAATGTTCCAGGAAAGTTGGACGCCCCAAGTGTCAGAAGCTGCAGACATGCTCAGTCTTTCTACCTCTGTTGGCCCATATTCCATAAGGGCAACGGTCCCCATGAAGATCGACCTTCGGAGTTAGTCTTCCTTGCGATTTTCTCAAAATTTTAAACCCCCCCCCCCACCCATGCAGCCTGGAAACATCTCACAGCACCGTAAGCATCTGCATTTGTTCTTATATACTGTCTAGCGTGCGTCAGCACATCCTCAATCTCTGCCAGAAGGGTGTCAACGTCGTGGCCCTCTTCCCGGAGGTGGTCTTGCACGGCCTGATGCAAGTGCCGCTGCTGTCGAACCACTCTTGTGCAGTGCATGTGAGGGCGGTGACAGCATCATTCAATCCCCCTCCGGCTTGCTCGACAGGAGACCGCAAGATCATCCCCCATGTCCGCAAACACTCAAAGTCACTCCAGGGCAAGCATGCTCTTTGCCAACCACAAGCACTTGGCGAAAGGCTTGTCTAGCCGACAATTCCTCTCACAGTCAAGTGGATCTGCGACCCAGTGCACCAACAAATTAGTTGAAATGTTGAAAGCACAAACCTCGCATGGAACATGCAAACATGTCCAAGCAGTAGAAATGTGGATCTCACCATTTTTCATATCTTCTTCAAATCAAGGACTTCTTACAAGGATGTGTGCCAGCGAGGTAATCCCGCCAGCTCCAGCAGTGGCCGTTTTAGACAACTTGAAGCTGGCCAGGTCTGTGCAATCTGTGCAGGCCGGACTTTGAGTAAAGAAGGCACCCCAAGTTTTTACACAAAGAAATAAGGAAACCAGAAAACCACACGTTCGCTTCTTCGAGCCCTGGACTGATGTGATGTAGGACGTCTAGCTCTAGTCATCTAGTATCCATACACTCAGCGGCATTGATCAAGAAAGCTATAATGAACCTTTTCTAAGAGTAATAGACTGCATCATGTCCTTCAAGTTTGGGGCCCAACAGCATGGCTCAACCATTGACCAACAACTTACTGTAACTTAGGGCAACAGCTGCACACCAAACCCAAAACCACACCATAACCCAAAGCGACGCCATATCTTGACCTGACGACGAAAGTACGGATGTTTGCATGATGCGCAACCGCAACTTCAATGCAACTGAGTCGTGCCCGCTGCGAATGACACCAAGTACTGAGCTCCTGCAGCTATTGCAGCGAGATGAAGGAGATGGCCAGTCCGACAAACCATTTCAAAGCCATGGTGCCCGATGCTGGCAGTGTCGGCGCTACGTTCTCCCAATCGGCAGGAGGCTTGCACTCGTACGACTCCGTGAGCGTGCTGAGGCAGACCATGTTGTGAGTCGCGGAGGAGCCGTGTCTTCCCACAGTGAGGTCATTTGCCGCGCCCATGGCCATAATGACATAGTAGGGCGTGTCTGCGGCAAGCACCAAGTCGGTGCAGTCGCCGGTGTTCAGCTTGCGATGGGCGTCCACCTTCATGCGGCCATTGCTGATGTCATAGGTGACCTCTGTCAGATCCTGCTTCTTGTCGATGCGGATGCTGTAACCAAGCAAGTTGCACTGGGACAAGCTGATGGCGGTGCCAGCATTCATGACCGTCAGGTTCATTGCGCAGAACATCTGCCCTGGGCATTTGTAGGCACCGCAGCCGCCGCAGCCGCCGCAGCCGCCACAGGCACCGCAGGCGCCGCAAGCGCCACAAGCGCCGCAAGCGCCGCAAGCACCGCAAGCGCCGCAAGCGCCGCAAGCGCCGCAAGCGCCGCAAGCGCCGCAAGCACCGCAAGCGCCGCAAGCGCCGCAAGCGCCGCAAGCAGCAGTGGTGGTGGTAGCACCGCAAGCGCCACAGGCACCGCAAGCGCCACAGGCACCGCAAGCGCCGCAGGCGCCGCAGGCACCACAAGCGCCGCAAGCAGCAGTGGTGGTGGTAGCACCGCAAGCGCCACAGGCACCGCAAGCGCCGCAGGCACCACAGGCACCACAAGCGCCACAAGCGCCGCAAGCGCCACAAGCACCGCATGCACCGCAGGCACCAGTTGTGGTGGCACCGCAGGCACCGCAAGCACCGCAGGCACCGCAAGCACCGCAGGCACCGCAGGCACCGCAAGCGCCGCAAGCGCCGCAGGCACCGCAAGCACCGCAAGCGCCGCAGGCACCACAGTAGCACGGCACTGAACCGCCACCACAGGCACCGCAAGCGCCGCAGGCACCGCAAGCACCGCAGCCTCCGCAGCCACCGGATGGACAAGTGCCGAGGTTGACACCGCAGTGTCCACCTCCACATCCATGGTTATGAAGCCTGCGAGTCTTGAACGACGTCGACTTCAACGACTTCAACGACTTCAACGACTTCAGGCTGTGCGGGAGACCGGTCTTCACCTCATCGAAGATGGCATGTCGAGGGCAGCCTGTGCCAGTGAGCCAGCGTCCACTTCCTGACTCTTCCGGATGCGACACCAAGGCCTCTCCGGTCCTTGTTTGTGCACAACCTTGCATCCCGCACTTACTGCAAAGCCTTGAACAACGTCGAAAATGGGCACCCTCGGAGACAAGAACGATGACAAGAATGGGACACGAGCCACGGGAGCCCCAGTTGCGCAAAGAAGTCTAAAAACAATGAATCTGTGCGTTACTTCAATCCCTTCAACTCCTTAACTCTGCACCAATCCCCTCAGGGAGATTTCACATCTTTCTGCGCCCATTCGTTTTTCGTTTAAAGTGTACAACGGTGGTGCTGTTGGGTTACACGCGGGATTTCGGGTGACAGAATGACCTAGTGAGCATCGTCGGACGTTTCATGTCGAAGGCTCTTGCCTTAGAAGTTCACAGTTTTCTAGGGCTAGATCACGCTACGCGCTACCCTTTCACTACCCTTTCCGTGTCGCACAGACGCGCTTGGTTGTTGCGGTTCGCCTTGTCGTCCCACACACAGCGGCGTCTATGAGACGCAAGGATTCCCGTTTCGTTGATGGACGCTCGCTCGACGTTCCTGCGTAACGACACCAGCATTTCGGGCACCAGGTAGTATCCAAAACGGCGAAGGTACCTGAGCCGTGTATCAAGAATTTGCGTGTTCAGTCCACATTTAATACATGCGATGCAGATGCGAGGCTTTAATCGATCTCCACCTGAGCACAAGTTCACGGAAAACTGGTTCAAACAGTTTCGTCCAAAGATCCTCGGAATGTCAGCAAAGAAGTGACGGAAGAAAGGTGTTCTGCAGTCCGCAGGTCGCTTCTCGCTTCTCATGAAGCGACGTGGCGCGAGCGAAGATTCACCGTGTCAATCCAGGTCCACACTGGACTGAGACTCATCGGGCATTGCCACAATGTCTAAAAGATTGCTCTTTCAAAGGAATGTTTTTGACCGCTTCCCTTTTCAAGAACTTGATTTCACATGTGCAGCTTGGACTGGTCACACTTGATGTTCAAGCCTGTGCTTGTTGTTGTCGAGCTCAGGCTGGCAACGAGAGTACAGACTTCGGAGTACACGGATACTTCATGGCTAAGACAGAAACCTTAGTCTTAGAGCCCCAGAATCGCGCTGAAATTTCACAATCGATCCGGGAACTGCGAAGTCGGAACGGCAATATGTGACAATGTCGTCATGCTGTGGGCCGGGCTCGGGATTCAGAAAGGACTTGCAATGTATAAGCTTTCGCATTCCGACACCCAGCCAAATGAAGTCACAAGCGGTTAGTAGAAGAGACAAGGACAGTGACAACAAGGAGAGAGCATGTGCAAAGGTTTTGGGTAGTGGCGGTCCAGGTATCTGTACCATCTTCACTCGCTTGATGCCTTTATCATATAATCAAACCTAGCTGTGGATATCCGGATCGCGACGGTCTGCTCGTACTGATATTCCTTATTGTTTCGCTCAAATTTTGGCAATAAGGGCTGCTCGAAGGCCCGAAGCGTAGTTGAGAGAAGGGGAGGTTCGAGCGCAAGCCGACTCTTCATCCCTGAACCAACTTGCCACGGCCAGGTTGAGCCGCTTGCTGCTTCCCCTCAGGCTATGCATCCAAGAGGCACTCGCTTGGACTGCTCACAGGGCACTCCGCCCTTCAGCGCACGGTAGTTGGACACCTAGTTGGACACGCTGGGGGTGGGGGAGAACCAAGACTCCGTGATGGAAGACCCCAGACGAAGCGCCGAAACTCCATGTTGAATGACGTTAATGACTTTAATGAGAGATGTCCGGAAATTCCATGTCGGCCTTGCCCAGAACTTCGCCGCGAAGGCAAGGAGGCAGGAAGGGAGGAGCCAAGACCTGCAACAGCAGGATGGAGCATCGACCAGGATACAGCGCCGCACCCCCGTGTCTGGGAGGAGACGACATACGGGAACGACCTCCGAACTGAGAAGCATCTGGGTCCCCGGCGGTGTAGTACTTGTACTCGCCAGTGACAGGGTCGATGGCACCGTGGCATTCGTCCAACATCTCCTTCTTGACCTGAACCCCACCCTTGAATGGCGCCATGATCGGTGCGCCATCCATGGCCCAGCCAATCTGAACTTCTGGGCCCTCCTGCGACCATTGCTCTGGCCCACCTGACTTCCACCAAGCGCCCTTGGGGACCGGCACCCCCAAGGATCGGAGTAGACAGAGAGGAGGGGCATGGTAGTGGTAGTGGCCGAAGGTGTCGCCATGGCCTCCGCAGTTGTCGATCACCCAGGTCATCCCTTCGCCCGGGTGCTCATGAACGAGAAGCACGGAATTCAAGGCAACGCCCACCACACCCCCGTGAGCCTCCAGGCGCTGGACTGCTCGAGGCTGGCTGGGAGGAGCCGGCAGCCAAATCTTCAGGTCGCGCTCGTACGGAAGGAAAGGGGACTGCATCTTTGGCGATTTCTTGTTTCGCAGTCTACGCCCGGAGCCGCAGCCACATGTCGCGTTGCTGCCGCAGCTGCCGCAGCCACAGCTGCCACAGGCGGTCGTGTTGCCGCCACAGCCGCAGCTACCGCAGGCGCCGCAGGCACCGCAGGCGCCGCAGGCACCGCAGGCACCGCAGCCGCAGCTACCGCAGCTGCCGCAGCCGCTCGAGCGGCAGTCGGGCAGGTCGAAGCCGGGGTGATGACCAAAGGTGAACACATCAATGCCATCCATCTTGGGCTTGTCCTTGTTGAAGCCGAGGGAACAATACCTTGTGGCCGGACAATCGGCTGTCACGTGAAGCTCATCACCATGTACGGTGATGGTCCATCGCGCCGTGTCCCCACCCTCGCTGTGCTCGAAGGTCACGCTTGCGGCCAGAAAAGGCAGCAGCCCAACCAACAGCGAGGCAAACAAGGTCGCCATGATGGATGACGGCTTCGACGATTGATGCTGCGTGAGCCCAGCAGCTGTCATGAGTCACGAGGTGTACAATGGTGTGCGGTAGTCCAGAGCCAGTGCAGAGAAAAGGTGAGCTTGCCTTTAACTGTGTTTATCTGTGTTTACAGCATGTTACGAAAGGCCTCCCAGCTTCTTTTGTGCCCATCCTGGGCATCATCGGGATTTGTGTTCTCCTGCAAGGGGCCCAGGGGGTTCAGAAGCCATGTGTAATCGCTGCAGCAGAGGCGAAACCGTGACTTGCTTCATTTGTACCATTCTGTCCTCGAAGTTGGGGTTGCTCTTGTTGATTGCATAGTTCGTGAGGTGCACCATGACTTCCGACCTGGGGCAAGCGGCATTTTGTAAAGGGTTCTGTGGCACCGTTTTTACAAGGCAGTGACAAGTTGTTCTTCGTCGGCTCCACCTCAGACAAAAGGTTCTGCCCCCAAAGGAGATGTCGCAAAAGGTAGTGTTGAGACTCCTTGTAAACGGCCAGGCCACATACTGCTCTGACGCCAGCCGCACAAGCCCTCGCCTCGACTTCACTGCTCTCTCTCTCTCTCTCTCTCTCTCTCTCTTTCTCTCTCTCTCTCCACACGCTAGGACCCCCAGAGGGGAGCCGCCCCGAAGGGCGCGAGAGTCCCAGCTCTCTCTCTCTTCTTCTTCTTCTCCACGCTCAAGAGGGTCCCCCCAGAGGAGGTCCCCCGGCCACGACGGCCCAGCGGTTCTGGTCCAAGGCCCCCAGGCTTTCGTTTGAAGCTTAGGGGGTGTGTGGGGTGGTCATCTTTGTGTGCCCCCAACCTACTCCATCAGCTCATTTCTCTGACGGTTTCGGGTCTACTTCACGTCCCTCAGTGTTTGGGTCCCCTGGTTGGTCATCTTCTCGCCGATCTTCGAGGTCTCCTTCTCGTTGTTGTGTGGCTGGCGTAGTGCTCTCGTCTCCTTCTTCCGCAGCTAACGGTCCCCTTGTCCCCACCATAGTTGCCTCCTCGCTTTCCGGCACTGTCTGTGGTGGTCCTCGTGCTTGGTCTGCCTGTCTCTCTCTCTCTCTCTCTCTCTCTCTCTCTCTCTTTCTCTCTCTCTCACTGCGCTCTCTCTGACTGAATTCTCAAGCTTTTCCGGGGTCGGGGCACTCGGGGCACTCGGGGCACTCGGGGCACTCGGGGCACTCGGGGCACTCGGGGCACTCGGGGCACTCGGGGCACTCGGGGCACTTGGGGCACTCGGGGCACTCGGGGCACTCGTACTCTCAGCAGGAGGTGCTCTCTGAGCAGTGAGTTTTTGGTGTCTTTTGGTGCTGCTTGCTCTCCCAATTCGCCCTCTCGGCTGGCCTGTGCAGAAAAATCCGCAGCGGATCACAGCCACTCACCAGAACATAGAGCCGAAGATCAAACTTGTAGCCATCGAGCAACAGCGGCTTGCTGATGTACCTGCGACCACTGCTTCCAATCATTCCACCCGGGACTGAGGGACTGAGATAGCCCCCGCTTCTAGAAAAACTTCACACAGGACGCATCGTCAATTAACTACTGGCCCGTGACGTGAACGCGGCATTCGAACCCCTTGAATCCGGCCTTTGCGCGACGAATGTGGAAGAAAAGTCAACCGGCACCTTCTCCACGTCGCGGATCAAGAAGATGCCTTTGCCCTGTTCACCCAGAACAGCTAGTCAGCTAGTCAGCTAGTCTAGGCCAGTCAGATCATTGCTCTCGCAGGCCTGGCAACCATTGTCGGGCTTGATGATAAAGGTCTGCTTCTTGGCAGCTGCAAACCTCGCTACTCCAAAGAAGGAACACACACACACACAGAGACACACACAGAGAGACAGAGCGCCCTTGCGCTTTACGACTCCTGCGAACCGCTGGATTCCTATTGGCAGGCTTCGCATCATTTAGTCATTTAGCACAGGCTTGCGGCTTGCGTGCATCTGCCGCCGCAAAGGATTCGAACTTTGGGCGAATTGCGAGCTACAGCCTGGCAGATTCCTTTTTGCGCGCTGGGTTTGCACCTTTTTGCAGAAATTCGAACGTCGTGACATATGTAAGCTGCAGGTCCTTGGGTGGGGCAGAGTCGGGGGGGAGGGGACCCGCCCCCCCACCTTTTCCGATCCCTCGTTTCACCGTAAATCCCTGAGACATCAAGCCAAAAGCCCCCCCAAGTCCTGCTGCGCCCACAATGAACTCCCGCAAGCTCCAAAGAGCTAGCTTGCGTTATCATAGAGTCATCACTGTGTGATGACGTTGCATACTTCCGCGGGAAAGTGGGGGGTCAACGCTTCGCCATACCACACACATCGTACACCATCCGAGCGGCTGCTGCTTAAAGTCCGACATGTCCGTGGGCAAGATCCATGTGTCAGGGAAGAAGCGGTACTCCTGTCATGATGCAAATATATATATATATATATATATATATATATATATATATACACATATAAATATATATTGTCTTTAAATGTATATTGAGATTTATATTTATATTGATTTGTTTTATGTATATATTCTTTATGTATTTATGTATTCATTTATTTATTCATGCATTTTTATTTGTATTCATTTGTATATCTATCTAATGATTTCCTAAATATTTATGTATATTTATAAATTACTTATTTAGCTATTCTGTCTACATAGATACATGTATACATATATGCATATATACATATATACATATATACATTTATACATTTATACATTTATACATGTATACATTTATACATGTATACATGTATACATTTGCTCACCCCCCCCCAATGGACCCACCGCGGATGGCAGCCGAGTCCTAGCCAGATCAAGGCAAAAAACAACAAAACAAGAAACTAACAAAAACCAACAAACCAAAAAAATCCAAAAAACCAAAAAAACCAAAAAAACCAAAAAACCAAAAAAACCAAAAAAACCAAAAAAACCATCTTTTCCAAAACTATGGGGCTGGGGCCTCCAAAAGATGGTTTTTTTGGTTTTCTCGAGAAAAAGATGGTTTTTTTGGTTCGAAACCATCTTTTTCTCGAGAAAAAGATGGTTTTTGAGCAGCCGCTCTTCTAAAAACCATCTTTTTCTCGAGAAAAAGATGGTTTTACCAGGACAAGACCTCCAAAAACCATCTTTTTCTCGAGAAAAAGATGGTTTTACCAGGACAAGACCTCCAAAAACCATCTTTTTCTCGAGAAAAAGATGGTTTTTCCAGGACAAGATCTCCAAAAACCATCTTTTTCTCGAGAAAAAGATGGTTTTTCGAAGAGCGGCTGCTCAAAAACCATCTTTTTCTCGAGAAAAAGATGGTTTCGAACCAAAAAAACCATCTTTTTCTCGAGAAAACCAAAAAAACCATCTCTTGAAGGCCCCAGCCCCATAGTTTTGGAAAAGATGGTTTTTTTGGTTTTTTTGGTTTTTTTGGTTTTCTCGAGAAAAAGATGGTTTTTTGGTTCGAAACCATCTTTTTCTCGAGAAAAAGATTGTTTTGAGCAACCATCCTTCGAAAAACCATCTTTTTCTCGAGAAAAAGATGGTTTTACCAGGAGAAGACCTCCAAAAACCATCTTTTTCTCGAGAAAAAGATGGTTTTACCAGGACAAGACCTCCGGAAACCATCTTTTTCTCGAGAAAAAGATGGTTTTTCCAGGGTAAGATCTCTAAAAACCATCTTTTTCTCGAGAAAAAGATGGTTTTTCGAAGAGCGGCTGCTCAAAAACCATCTTTTTCTCGAGAAAAAGATGGTTTCGAACCAAAAAAACCATCTTTTTCTCGAGAAAACCAAAAAAACCATCTTTTGGAGGCCCCAGCCCCATAGTTTTGGAAAAGATGGTTTTTTTTTGGTTTTTTTGGTTTTTTTGGTTTTCTCGAGAAAAAGATGGTTAAGTTTTAGGGGTTTAAGCCTCATGCACTACAGGGTTATAAGGTTCTAATCCTATAGGTATTGCCTTAACCTTTAACCCTAAACCTTTAACTTTAAACCCTGCAGGGTTAACCCCGTGAGAAATTTAGAGATAGACCCCGAAAAGACCCTAAACCTTCTTACAGGGTGTCATGGTTTTAAAACCGATAGGACATGTATACCTTCAGCGCCTGTAGGGTTCAAGCCTTTGAACGTGCTAGACCCCTATAGGGTGCTAAGGTTCTGACCCTAGAGGGTTTAGGATTAAGGCTTAAATGCCCTCTAGGTTTAAATGCCTAAGTCTTAAACCCCAAACCTTTAAACCTTCATCTTATGGGGTTTGAAGGTCAAGGGTTTAGGCTTGATTGCCGAGGGCTTTAGGGTCCTGACCCTAGAGGGTTTAGGGTTAAGGAATAGATGCGTAAACCTTAAACCCTGAAGGTTTAAACTCTATGGGCTTAGGGGGCTTAGGTTTTTTTAAACCCTAAGCCTTTAAACCTTCACACTACAGAGTTTAGAGGTGTTAAGGGTGACAAATTGATTACATACTTAGCTTTAAATGCCTGAATCTTAAACCCCAAACCTTTAAACCTTAACCCTATAGGGTTTAAAGGTTAAGGGCTTAGTGTTAATCGCTGTCTTAGGTTTAAATGTCTGAATCTTAAACCCTAAAACTTTAAACCTTCACCCTATAGGGTTTAAAGGTTAAGGGTTTAGGTTGAATCGTCAGCTTGGATTTAAATGTCTAAGTAAAGAATCCTAAACCTTTAAATCTCATCCCTATGGGGTTTAAGGTTAAGGGTTCAATATGAACTGCCGGCATAGGTCTAAATACCTAAACCTTAAACTTAAACCCTAAACCTTTAAATATCTTAACCCTATAGGGTTTAAAGGTTAGAGGCTTAGCGTAAATTGCCGGAATAGGTTTAAATGCCTAAATCTTGAGCCCGAAACCTTTAAACCTTAGCCCAACAGGGTTTAAAGGTTAAGGGTTTAAAATTAGTTGCAGGCTTAATTAGGTTTACATTCCTACATCTTATATCCTAAACCTTTAAAAATCTTAACCCTATAGGGTTTAAAGGTTAAGGGCTTGGCTGCAGGTTTAAATGGCTAAATATTAAACCCTAAGCCTCTAAACTTTAACCCTACAGGGTTTAAAGGTTAAGGGTTTAAAATTAGTTGCAGGCTTAGGTTTAAATGCCTACATCTTAAACCCTAAACCTGTAAAAATCTCAACCCGATAGAATTTAAAGGTTAAGGGCTTAGCTTTAATTACCGGCATAGGTTCAAATGCCTAAATCTTAAACCCTTAACCTTTAAACCTTAACCCTACAGGGTTTAAAGGTTAAGGTTTTTTTTTTGCAGGCTTAGGTTTAAATGCCTAGATCTTAAATTATAAACAAAAGCCAACAGAAAGAAAAACCCTCCGTGCGTGTGTGAGAGGGTGAATTAAGGAATACAGTCAAAAATCCGGTCACCGGAAAATCACCAGACAGCATAGGTTTTATCGGTATTTGCGGTACTTTTGCAAAGATCAAGGCCCGCGGTGGGTCCATTGGGGGGGGGTGACCATACATTTATACATCTATGCATATATACATATGTACATATATGCATATATACATATTATGCGTATGTATACATTCCAGTTGCTGTCGGTGGAATATGGTGGCCTGCCTTTGGAAACTGCTTCCGCATCCGCAGCAAGTTGCGACCTTGGCAGTGGCATGTCGCTGCCCTTTCCTGCTGCCCGGAATCGGTCAGCAGCAGCAAGGCCAAGGTCCCATCCCAAATTGTTTTTGCGGGTGATGGAGCTCATCCCCACCTGTGGACCGGACCGGAAGGTAAAAGCAAATGTAGCTGGTTGTGCTGCAATACTTTGTTATCAACGACGGCGATTCCGATGCTGGGTTGCGCACGAAGTGATTCATCTTCTGGTAAGTCTTCAGCTTCATGAACCTGTCCGCTGGGACAGCCTGCGTTGCAAAGTCCACAAGGTGTTTACTGGTTTTCACTGATTCCTTTCTCCGTGTGTGTGTAAGGAACTCCCATAGGCAGCCCAAAATCTGGAAATAAAGGGGTCCTTCCTAAAGGACTCACGCGGAAGGGGGAGGCGAGAGAGGAGTGACTTCGTTCGACTATATGAGGTGAGGGAGCTGAAGCCTTTCATGCCTCTTGCAGGGAAGCTATTTGCTTTGCTTTGCAAAGGGCTCCAACCGCTCAAAACCTCTCTGGGCCTCTTGTTTGTCAGTTTTTGGAGAATCTATTCTGAATGCTCATCGGGAGCACTGCACCTCATCGTGGTTTGCATCTTGGGATTGCAGGTTTGACAGTTTCTGCCGTGTCCACCACATTCTCGTCAGCTTCCCCCGAGCTTCTCCATCGGAGATCTCCACCGTGTCAATTGTCTTCATGGGATCGACGTCCGGCATGTGAGGCTTACAACGAGCGGTTAGGGGCGAAAGCAACAAATCTGATTTCAAGTGGTAGCTGGACTTCACGGATGCGATGCTGAGGTCCAGGCAGTGGACCTTGAAGCCGAAAGGCGAAATTTTAACATAATATTCCGGACATATGCCTTGCTAATCCCTTCCCCCAATACTAATCGCCCCCCCCCCCCCCCCCCCCCCCCCCCCCCCTAAATAAAACCCCCAAAGGGCTTTTAGTATTAGAGGGAGGGGGGGGGGGTTCTTACTGTTGTGCGAACAACACAAAGCGTATACGAGCTCTCTCATGTCCATTTACATATAAGGGTGTTTTCTTGCTGGTGGGAAGGGACTAGTCACGCAAACTACGCTGGAAGTCGTAACAACTTACTATGGGCACCATCTCCTTTGTGGATGCCGTGGTCTGTGTTTGCTATTGTCTGCTGCGGACTTGTAACTTGTTGTGACAGATTCAAGTCGGCACCAGTGCACGCACCGAGGAAGGCACCGAATCAGACCAGAAGAGGTCAAAGTCGGCATTTGCAGAAGAAGCTTCTTTCCAATTCTCGAACTCCGCGCAGACCTGCATGAGACTGAAACGATGAGAGCAAAAGAGCAACAGTTGAGAAAACGGCACCTCTGGCAGTATCTCATACTTGCTCTCGAGCCACACAAGGATCCTTGTTGCGGTGCACAGGTTCTAGCGAAGACGCATAACGAGCATAACGGGCGTAACGCTCTGCAACGCTCTGCAACGCTCTGCAACGATCTGCAACCCACTTGATCTCTGAGGGTCTTCTTGGCTCGATCTGCAGCTCTCTTGCGCCGACCTGAATCTCATAGATTCAGCTCATACCATATCTCAAAAGCTTGTGACAATAATTGACAATATGACTCATCCTGTCCGGAATTGTCGCATTCCAAACCTTCTTGGGGCTCGTGCGACCCGCTGCTGATGCTGCTGGTGCTTCTTCACCAACCGGGCGCACCTCCACTGATCTGCACTGATCTGCACTGGTATCACGAGAAAAACGTGACAAAACAGTACGAAACACTGTGCCGTCACGACTCTTTTACGACTCTTCACTGGGCCTCTCTCGCTTTTGCGGTGGACTTTGCGAGCGCAATGGCCGAGGACCACTCAGGCCTCAAGCACTGGGCAGAACTCAAAAGTCAGGCCTTGGTCTGAACTCGTCGTAGGCCCCTCCTTTCGGTCTGAGAACGTGGCGGCACAGTCCGACGATCGCCAGGATAGTCCTCACGGGATCTGGTTGGAAGCATCACGATGCTCTTCGCTCGGCATTATCCAGTCATCATGCAGTGTCACGAGTTCCCGCTCTTCTAAACCGGCACTCCTCGTCTTCGCCACGCACATCAGGAGTGAATAGCTGCTCTTCGCTGAACACGTTCTGGTGGACATCACCGGCCTCAGCCGCTTTCATTCCATGCTGCATGGAACAAACTGGGCCACAGTCCACATACGTCAACATTGGTTCTGGTGCTGGTGCTGCTATCGGATGACCAGAAAGTGGCATGAAGAAACCCCCACGCATAGATTGATAGATAGATCTGCGAACTCAACGCTTGCTCGGCCTGCCTCGCATGTGCGTCATGTTCTCGCTTGCCACGACTATACTCTAAACGTGTCTGAGGCAAAGAACCATCCGTTGCACTCACGATCTACAAGTCCTGACGCTTCTGGGCTTGAGTATCGGATGCTTCACACTGTGGTCAGCAGCTCCTTGCAAAGCCTCACGCCGAGACGAGGGCTACCGACCTCACCAGATCAGGACAAAAGCATGACAATGATGACAATGCATGCACTGGAGCTCTGAATCCGAGTTGGAAGCCAAGTCTGGGAGGACCATGGTTATTGGATGTCATCGGTCATCGGATGTCGGGTCGGAGGGCACATTGGAGCAAAAAACAGAATATTCGACTCTTTTGCAGCACCTGGCACCTGAACGCTTAGTGGCTATCGCTTAGTGGCTATGACTTTGTACCGTGAGGGCTACTGGCCATCCTGCTTACAAGTTTCTCAATGTTTTCCTTGAGCCGCGTCGGTGTCTCCAGCAATGCAGCTACTGCCATGCCATGACCAAAACAAAGCCATAGCAACAAAGGACAACAAGGCGTGACTTGACTTCCTGTTCTTGGGATGTCTTGGGAGTCTTGGAGTCTAAGCGCGTTTTGGAGTCTGGGAATGTACTTCGGCTGCAGTACAGGAGCGCGTCAAGCTGGAGTTAGGAGTGTGGCCGTCCGCAATGGTCTGAGGCTCAAGTGCTCGCTGAAATCTGCTTTTGCTCGCGAAAACGCAGCTGTGGCGTCAGGGGGTGGTGGCGTCAGATCTTCGTGAAGCTGTCACGTGCCAGACACGTCACACAAGTAGAGACCTGCAAGAGACACCGTGGCGAAGTCATAGCAGGGTGGAGGGCATCCATGTATCAACAGATATGGTCTGCAAACGTCTGCAAAGGACGCTGCAGCATGCCAAACTTCTTGCTTCACCATGCTTCACCCTTTTTCTCCAGCAGCAAAGGGCTTGTCAATCCAACGAACCCCTTCGTCCAGCAACGGGCTTGTCAATCCAACGAAACCCCTTGCCTTTACAGAACATGTACAGAACATGCGGGACAAGCTAAGGAGCCTCTCTTGAGAGGCTCCTTGCTGTCCTCGTCTCACGTGGCGTGTCATTCGGCCGCTCCTAGGAGCGGAACAAGGCGAGCGAAGGCTGCTGGCCATGCCATGCCGCCCCACAAAATCTGCCATAAAAACAAGGCAGGTTCAGATCGTTCAGTGAATATCGACAACTCAGAAAGCCTCGCTTTGGAAACTCCAGAGGTTCTCTGTCACTGCCATCTATGCCGGCTACCTGCTGCTGGGTCTGCTGGGACACTGTTCAAGACAATTGCTGGCTGCCTTAAAGTGCTTTCAGGCTAGTCTGCCGATCAGAAAAGCCATTTCACAGAACACAAGACGACGACGGATTGCAACCTCTACTTTACGGCTGCAGACCCAGCGCAGGATATATGAACGATCAAGATCGCCCGCACCCCGTAGCTTCCATGGCCATAGCAAGCTACAGGAAAAACGAAGCTGCCAGGACAGCTGCTGGCAACCATTTCAAAAGGGCCACAGTGTTTGAGGTCGTTGCCGGCAGTCTCGGCGCAATGTTATCCCAATCGGCAGGGGGCATGCACTCGTACGACTCCGTGAGCGTGCTCAGGCAGACCATGTTGTGCGTCGCGGAGGAGCCGTGTCTTCCCACATTGAGGTCATTTGCCGCGCCCATGGCCATAATGACATAGTAGGGTGTGTCTGCGGCAAGCACCAAGTCGGTGCAGTCGCCGGTGTTCAGCTTGCGATGGGCCTCCACCTTCATGCGGCCATTGCTGATGTCATAGGTGACCTCTGTCAGATCCTGCTTCTTGTCGATGCGGATGCCGTGACCAAGCAAGTTGCACTGGGACAAGCTGATGGCGGTGCCAGCATTCATGACCGTCAGGTTCATTGCGCAGAACATCTGCCCTGGGCATTGGTAGGCACCGCAGCCGCCGCAGCCGCCACAGGCGCCGCAAGCGCCACAAGCGCCGCAGGCGCCACAAGCGCCGCAAGCGCCGCAAGCACCGCAAGCGCCGCAAGCGCCGCAAGCGCCGCAAGCACCGCAAGCACCGCAAGCGCCGCAAGCGCCGCAAGCAGCAGTGGTGGTGGTAGCACCGCAAGCGCCACAGGCACCGCAAGCGCCGCAGGCACCGCAGGCACCACAAGCGCCGCAAGCAGCAGTGGTGGTGGTAGCACCGCAAGCGCCACAGGCACCGCAAGCGCCGCAGGCACCGCAGGCACCACAAGCGCCGCAAGCAGCAGTGGTGGTGGTAGCACCGCAAGCGCCACAGGCACCGCAAGCGCCGCAGGCACCGCAGGCACCACAAGCGCCGCAAGCAGCAGTGGTGGTGGTAGCACCGCAAGCGCCACAGGCACCGCAAGCGCCGCAGGCACCGCAGGCACCACAAGCGCCGCAAGCAGCAGTGGTGGTGGTAGCACCGCAAGCGCCACAGGCACCGCAAGCGCCGCAGGCACCACAGGCACCACAAGCGCCGCAAGCGCCGCAAGCGCCACAAGCACCGCATGCACCGCATGCACCGCAGGCACCAGTTGTGGTGGCACCGCAGGCACCGCAAGCACCGCAGGCACCGCAAGCACCGCAGGCACCGCAGGCACCGCAGGCACCGCAAGCGCCGCAAGCACCGCAAGCGCCGCAAGCGCCGCAGGCACCACAGTAGCACGGCACTGAACCGCCACCGCAGCCGCCACAGCCACCGCAGCCACCGCAGCCACCGCAGCCACCAGTTGGACAAGTGCCGAGGTTGGCAAGCCTGCGAGTCTTGAACGACGTCGACTTCAACGACTTCAACGACTTCAGGCTGTGCGGGAGACCGGTCTTCACCTCATCGAAGATGGCATGTCGAGGGCAGCCTGTGCCAGTGAGCCAGCGTCCACTTCCTGACTCTTCCGGATGCGACACCAAGGCCTCTCCGGTCCTTGTTTGTGCACAACCTCGCATCTCTCATTCCCCACTCATTTACTGGCACCCTTTCCAAAGACTCCATAGAACCACCAGAACGCAGCGCTTACTGCAAAACGCAGACTACCGATGTAGAAGCATCTGCAAGCATGCAAGTAAAGGGACCATGCAACTTCAATCCTGGCCATGTGTGCACAACAAACTAGCACAGTTCCAGTTGTGTTTCTCACTGGCAAATGTCTAGGGTCTGGTTCCGTTTTGAAATGCCTAAACAGGATCCCATCATCATCCTCATCATCACCATCGACTGCACTGAGCCCGAAGATGCCCGAAGTCAGAATGGTCATCAGTCATAAGCAACAAGACCGAGCTAGGCAGAAGTAAGGGTTTAGGCACTGACGCTGGTCAGGATGCAGCCAAATGCTGCAAGAAGACCAAAGCAAAAACACAGACCAAGTGGCTGCAGCCTGCAAACGTTGAAATCAAATTGCAATGCTACATGGCTAAGATGTAGTACACATGCATTGAGGGTTTAAAACATGTTCATTTGACAGACCTTGGTTTTTAGTGGCTGTTGCGTTTGTGCGTTTCTCACACTTGATTTAGCAGCTTAGCACGGTATCGCGAGAAGTGCTTGCAGGAAGAATAAAGAGCTGGTGAACAAGCGCACTTCCACGGTCCGCCCGTTTAACTTCCGCGGGGGTAGCGTTGCTTTGAATCGCCGTGCTCTTCTTTGTCTGCTCAACCTTTTGCAGCCAAGCACATGTCAATATTTGAAAGCTGCTTGGTTGGGCTTGGTGTGGGCCATGGCACTGACATCGACTGCGGCAACTCTTGGCGGCTCCGACAGGCCATTCTCGAGATCCAATCGGGCTCATGACGGATGATGCGCCTTCCTTCGTCGTCTCCTGCCGGCCAATCTCGGCCTAATGGTGGTGGCTCCAGGAGGGTGGTGATCACTGACCCAACCAACTCCAGCTGGCAGCTGACGTCTCCCAGCCGCTTGACAAACTTCAAGCACAAAAGGATGCCACACGCCAATGTCAAAGATGAAGTGTTATCAGTGGTAATGCCGCATGCCACTCAACCGCGCAAGCAGGGACCGGCTCCGGCTGCAAGCCCCCCTTCAGCTCAGGAGTTTTAAAGGAGCCCGAGGGCTGTGCGCCTTCTAACCACCCCACTCCCATTTGCTCGACTCAGTTTTGCAACTCCAAGCCCAAGGCGACTCCTCAATCGGACGCTTCACCGGAGTGGGCTTCCAAGCGTTTCACATTCCACATTCCACCCGCTACTCATAACTGGGGGGCGCTTTATCAAAAAAACCGCAAACGCAGCGCCGCTGCATCCAAGAGGCACTCGCTTGGACTTCTCACAGGGCACTCCGCCCTTCAGCGCACGGTAGTTGGACACCTAGTTGGACACGCTGGGGGTGGGGGAGAACCAAGACTCCGTGATGGAAGACCCCAGACGAAGCGCCGAAACTCCATGTTGAATGACGTTAATGACTTTAATGAGAGATGTCCGGAAATTCCATGTCGGCCTTGCCCAGAACTTCGCCGCGAAGGCAAGGAGGCAGGAAGGGAGGAGCCAAGACCTGCAACAGCAGGATGGAGCATCGACCAGGATACAGCGCTGCACCCCCGCGTCAGGGTCTGAGACGACATACGGGAACGACCTCCGAACTGAGAAGCATCTGGGTCCCCGGCGGTGTAGTACTTGTACTCGCCAGTGACAGGGTCGATGGCACCGTGGCATTCGTCCAACATCTCCTTTTTGACCTGAACCCCACCCTTGAATGGCGCCATGATCGGTGCGCCATCCATGGCCCAGCCAATCTGAACTTCTGGGCCCTCCTGCGACCATTGCTCTGGCCCACCTGACTTCCACCAAGCGCCCTTGGGGACCGGCACCCCCAAGGATCGGAGTAGACAGAGAGGAGGGGCATGGTAGTGGTAGTGGCCGAAGGTGTCGCCATGGCCTCCGCAGTTGTCGATCACCCAGGTCATCCCTTCGCCCGGGTGCTCATGAACGAGAAGCACGGAATTCAAGGCAACGCCCACCACACCCCCGTGAGCCTCCAGGCGCTGGACTGCTCGAGGCTGGCTGGGAGGAGCCGGCAGCCAAATCTTCAGGTCGCGCTCGTACGGAAGGAAAGGGGACTGCATCTTTGGCGATTTCTTGTTTCGATTGTTTCGCAGTCTACGCCCGGAGCCGCAGCCACAGCTGCCGCAGCTGCCACAGCTGCCACAGGCGGTCGTGTTGCCGCCACAGCCGCAGCTACCGCAGCTACCGCAGGCGCCGCAGGCACCGCAGGCACCGCAGCCGCAGCTACCGCAGCTGCCGCAGCCGCTCGAGCGGCAGTCGGGCAGGTCGAAGCCGGGGTGATGACCAAAGGTGAACACATCAGTGCCATCCATCCTGGGCTTGTCCTTGTTGAAGCCGAGGGAACAATACCTTGTGGCCGGACAATCAGCTGTCACGTGAAGCTCATCACCCTCTAGAGTGATTGTCCATCGTGCCGTGTCCCCACCCTCGCTGTGCTCGAAGGTCACGCTTGCGGCCAGAAAGGGCAGCAGCCCAACCAACAGCGAGGCAACCAAGGTCGCCATCGCAGAAACCGCACAGTTGGAAGATGATGGGGCTGAGCAGCTGGACCGAGCTGATTGGAGCACACAGAAAACAAAGTTGCCATGAGACACTCAACGCAGGTGCTGGCACAATCTAAACACATGGAAAGGCTGACCATCTCGACGGCACCTCAGATGAACTTCTTCTGCTCGCCCGTCGAGCTGAACCTGGACGAATCTGGACAAAGGTTCTGCCAAGGCCACCAGATCTGGGCAGCTCTGGGCGGCATGCTTCTGGTCCAGCGTCAAGCCGTCCCCGACGGCGGATGCAATCGCCTGAAGTCAACGTGAACTTGGTTCACCGCACCATGCTGCACCTCTCGCCGCAGCCTTCTGCCGCTTCTCCAGGAGTTCCCGCAACTCGCCGACCAAGGTCGCCTCGCGGTTGGCCTTCTCTTCGAAGTTGTACCTGGAGCAAACTACAGAACAAGCGACCGCTTGGAGAAAACTCATGTCCCTGTCGCGCTCTGCCGTGCTTTTGCGCACATGGCAAGGGCTCGCTTCTCCTCTGCGGAGTAGACCTGGTTCTCCTGAAATCGAGCTGTGCTGAACCAGGCAGTCTGTTGGGCATCCAATCAACACAACGCCAACACCAGCAATTGAATTTAATGCGTGTCCACGCGCCCCTGTATCTCTCCATCTCTCCATCTCTCCATCTCTCCATCTCTCCATCTCTCCATCTCTCCATCTCTCCATCTCTCCATCTCTCCATCTCTCCATCTCTCCATCTCTCCATCTCTCCATCTCTCCATCTCTCCATCTCTCCATCTCTCCATCTCTGCATCTCTCCATCTCTCCATCTCTCCATCTCTCCATCTCTCTATCTCTCTATCTCTCTATCTCTCTATCTCTCTATCTCCCTCTCTCTCTCTCTCTCTCTCCTAGCTGCGGCTGCATGTGCTTGAAGTGGGCTGCAGTCCTTTCGGATACGCACCGCATTCATGCGCCGGTGCCTTGAGCCACTCATGACCTGAGCCAAGCAAATGCGTGAATGGGAATGGGAATGGAAGGGCCGAATATGATGGGGAATCTGCATAGCCCAGGTCTTCCAGGTTCTCGATATCATCGGCAGTGATGCCGACCTCTCCTCGTCGTGGGATACGCATACCGCTCTTCACGTACCTGTGACCGTGCACTTGCAGATGCGCGAACTGTGCACTTGCTGATGCTTGCTGTCATTCTAGAGAATGGTATTGGCAGTGGACGGCCAACCGGCAAACCCGAAAAGCTGGAGTGGCACTCGGCCATGGCGTCTCCCTCACCCGGGAGCAAGTAGCCTGACCAGGCCCACAACATAGCACAGGGCACCACACACTGTGACCCAGCCTTACCATCCTTACCGTCCTTACGGTCCAGCCAGTCCTTGCAGTCCTTCAATCCCCCGTGACATCCTACCGAATCCTACCCAAGCAGCCTCCATAGGAGCCCTTGCTCTGGGACATGTTGTTGATCAGCTCCTGGGAGTCGACATTCCCAATCCGTGCGCCAAGTGCGAACTGTGCGAAACCGCGCGAATGTCTGAAAATTCCATCTACATGTCACACACACACACACACACATTTTGTGACTCCAAGGCAGTCCTGCTGCGTCGCTGGCATGGGTCCAAAGCCTTCATCCTCACCAAGCCCCTCAGAGCCCTCTCTACTGTCTGCTCTACTGTCTGCTCTCGGCATCTCCCAAGTTGGCACGAAACTCTACAGGAGAGCCGCATGTCACACTCACACTCTCACACTTGGCGTGGGCGCTGCGTCAGTGGTCCTCGGAGTCGTAGTTGTAACCTGCTTGATAGGGAGCTACAGCTTGTGGAGCCTTTGGCCTCCTCTGGCCATGCTTAGAACAAGACCCCCCGGCCCACCAGCCCTACATGTTCAACTTCTCTGTACAGGAATCTGGGACTAAGGCGGTTTCGGACCGTGTCACATGCACCGGCACTCTGTCCCAAGACATTCTGAAGCGTTTAGGGACATCTGGTGCTTTCGGCAAACGCTTGCGCCTGCCGCGTACTTGGAATCACCAGCAGTGCTGGGACGAATTTCCACCCACTCCACCTGCAGTCCAGGTGTTGCTAGGATACCGTACAACCGTGAATTCGGCAAAGAATCTCAAAGCGCCTGCTCCTCCATGACAGTCTCTCCAGAGCTGCTGTCGTCATCCTCGGATGCCGACAAAAACCTTGAAAAAACATGCACAGTATGGCGAAAACTCTGGCAGTGCGAGTCCTCGTCGCTTGAGGGCGACGACTCCGATGAGGACTCTTTCTTTTTCTTTTTCTTCTCCTTGGCTACTTGTGTGTGTGTGTGCCAAGGAGGATTGAACTCTGTCTGTGAGAGCGGCTGCATGTGCAGCATGGTGAAAAAACTGACAGTTGAGTCTAAACGTTTGTGCCGGCGTACCATAGCCTCAACTAATGGCTTGCCATGCATTCCTGTGAGACTTCTGCAGCTGGGATGCCTTTGTTCATGCGACTTACAACTTCTGCAATTGCGGGACTGCAGATTGGGTGCTACCCAAGGCACAATAAACTGGTGTATCCCTAACGGGTTTCCGGCTGACGGCCCCGGGTTGCATCCACACCAGCTTGCCAGTAGGGGCTTTGATCTCTTGGCATCTCCATGACGGGACATACTATTCAGTCATGGCATGTGTCTTGGCCCTCTGCGGGGAACAAGGCGAACAAAGCGGACCCTGATAAGGGTCGCAAAAGTGACAGTCAAATCTGTGAAGTCTCCCACAACCCCTGGGATTGCAAAGGTACCGAAAGGTACCGCCTGCTATTGGCATCATCAGTCCCCACGTTTGACAAGACAAATGAATGTGGCGGCATGGGCACACCTTGCTGATGCCTCCTCAAGCTCAGGAATGTACCTTCTTCTCCTTGCCTTTGCTTTTTTCTTTTTCCTTTCAGGCTAAACTATTGCAATGCTGGTCTAGTCGCCGACAAGCACATCAGCCCATGTGGCTGATGCTTACAATGATTACTGATCGTAGATGCAGTTTGCGCGCAAGAATTTATCATTATCAGGGGGTACAAGGGTACATAGGTGCAGTACTTGAGAGGCAAGCCGGTGCCAACGAAAGCTACAGCAGGAGCACGCATACTTCAAGAGCGTCGTGACCACGCGCAGCATCCTGCCTCCCCTGCCCCTTGGGCAGAGAACAGCGCAGTACACTCCACAATGCCCGCAGCGCATGCGTGGCTCACGTGTTCCACGAGCACGATGTGTGCAAGCAAGCGTACACACAACCAAGATAAGCAATCGTGAGCACATGCACGCACTGCCAGAAGCGGCTATCGGGTTCATGGAAATGAGTTTGGCCAGGCATTGCATACAGGCTTCCACGTGCACGCAAGAAGGCATCTGCATTTAAAGAGCCCGAGCCGAGTGCTCAAGGATACGTGCATGCGCAGTTCACATGCGAGCATGCAGGCAGGTGTGCACACGCAAGCAGGCGCAATTGTGTCAGGGTGGTTGCACAAGCAAACACGTGCTTGTTCGTACAGCAGTCGAGCGTGCGTGGAACACAACGGCGTATCCTGACATAGTTACCAAGCACATCATGCCCAAACCCAAGCCACCAGGCTCAAGCATTCCCCACGTCGCCAGCAAAACGGAGAACTCACGTTCTGCATGCGCATGTCGTGAGTCCAGGGCCTAAAACAGACTGCTATGCTGTGAGTGAAGTGATCGACACTAGCGCAACAAGTTGCAATGCCTAAGAATGGTATACCTTGTCCTTGGCGACATGACTAATTTAAATTTGTGCAAAGTCCACCCAAGACTTTTGAAGCTGCACGAAGCGGGACGACACACACACACACACAGACCGGACTCTCCGTCACGTCCCCTTTCTGCCTTCTTGACCTTCTCGTCCTTTGCCTCCTCCTTCTCCTCCTTCTTTTCCGCTTCCTTCTTCTCTTTCTTCGTCTTCTTGCTCTGCTTATCGTCAACTTCCTCCATCTCCTCCTTTCCTGCTTTCTTGTCCTTCTTCGTCTTGTCCTTTTTCTCTTTCTTTTCCTTCTTCTCGTCCTTCAAAGAACGACCGAAAGATCACGCAGCTTGAGTTCCGAAGGAACTTGCTGCAGCTCCTTGTCCTCCGTACCTTTTGTCTCCTTCTCTTTCTCCTTCTCTATCTTCTTCAGCTCCTCTTGATGAACTGCGCACATCATTGTGCCAGTCTGCATTTTGCTCACATGGCCCAGTCCTTGGATTCCGTCTTCATTGCCTGCGCGAGCAAGCTATGCATTTCGCTTGAACCTGGAGATGATCATGTTCTGAACCTGGATCTGTGTTCTTGTCATCGACTAACCGGCGGCCTTCTTGATGTTGTCTTGGAACCGGTCATTTCGTTTGTGCTCCTCCTCGCATCAGCAAGTTTAGAGTGCCCAGCGACACTGGACAGTCACCAGGAGTCCAGGACTCTCCACCAAAAGGGAGGCTTGGCTTTGTCAGTGTACGGGCAGGCGCCTTTGTCATCTGAGCCGGTGCCTGACACGAGGCACAGCAGCATGCGCAGCAGCATGCGGCCCCCGGTTGCTACTGGCTGAAAAACAATGCCAACAATGGGCCATATGCCTCTGCTTCTGGCTGCGTCTCCCGCTGCGGCGAAGGAGAGCGAGGGTACATTGTCCTTTGCCAAGAGAGCAAAAAGAGAGCAAAGGACAAAGGGGGAAGATCATGGGAGTCGGCTGGGGCTTCGGCAGGAACGAGAAGAAAGCTTTGCTCCTCATTGCTGTCCGATCCAGAAGCCATGCCTCGCCCATATGTGGCATGTCATAGAATTTAACATAACGTCATCCCGGCTCATTGTTTCGAAAGAGATCCGTGACATGCTCCTGCAGACGCATCATCAAATCCAGCAACAGGCCGCGAAAAGCAGTCGCTTCCGGATTTGTTTGGCGCTTTGCTGTGCAGTCACTACTATTTGCAGTCACTGACAGCACGCCGGTCACCGACGACTTCAAAGCAAACAAAAACTCGTTCCGAAAGGCTGAGGCGCATCTTTGCCGGGGCACGTCTTTTTTGAGTACTGTGCAGTCGGTTTCGCTGTGCAGGCCAAGGCGCTATTTTTTGGGGAGAGAGTCTTCATGTTAAGATACACAGGAAACAGCGTTTCCAAGTAAACATTCACAGTAAGGTGAGGTCTTCCCATGAAAAATCGAAGAAGTAAAGGTTTTGCGATTAGAACACTGAATTTGAGGGAAAAGATGTTGTTTCCTTCTTACATTCAGAGGAAAAAGTTCCTCTGAAATACAGAGGAAATAGAGGTTTTCCGATAACAATTTTAAGGAAACTGAGGTTATCCCATTAAACATACAGGAGATACAGGTTTTGTACAGAAGAAATTGTTTTCTCCTTGAAAAAGGAAGGCAATAAGGGCTTTTGATGGAGAGGAATTCCTGAAATTCAATAGAGGCCATAAACGTCTCCGCCAAAAGAAAAAACAAAGGATGCAAGCACCCCCCCCCCCCCTCTCTCCCGTTTGCAAAGGCTTGGATTTGAAAAGCGGGCGAGCTTCAGGGCGCGCACGCCCCCGCCCGCCGTTTGCAAACACAGTGGGGAACAAGACTCGCATGTTTTCTTGACGCAAGTCCTCAACATGGTTTGATCTTCACATGTAAAGCAAGCTTAAGTTGCCAGGCTTGAAAACAAACAAAAAGCAGCGCGCAGGGCACATGTTGTTCTTGGTTGTGCTGTCGCTGGTGTCTATACCTCATTCTGATTTTGGATATGATTCAATAGCAACATTTGAATTTATATCGATGTTCAAGTGTACATATCAGGAGCTAGCATGGCCTCTTCGAACTCTGCCCGCCAGGTGTCAACCTCGCCTATACGGAACGAGGGGACACTGCAGACGCTTGAAGTCTTGAATGCACCCGCATCGGTGCCTTTCCCCTTCCCCTTCGAGGCCCGCTCAGGTGAGCGCCTCGAACAGCCACAGCATCGACAAGGCCTTCAGAAGCCTTATAAGAAGCCATAAGAAGCCTTATAAGAAGCCTTAAGAAGCCTGAAAACGTCACACGCCTGACGGGCGACTCGGAGAGGCGCTTGCTTTCAACCTTCAGATCTGATGCAGGATTCAGGAGTCGATGAGTGTTCAACACGTTGATCATCCGCTTGGTCCTGCGGAATATCGTGAATGTTCTCGAGTCCGAGCTTCGAAAGCCCACAGCAGAAAGGCTGGAAACGCGCATGCTGAGCACCCAAGCGGGCCGATTGATGAATCCTGAGATCGCCAGGTGGTGGACTCGTGACACTGGTGACAGCAACGGAACTGCCGAGTCGCGTGGAGGAGGCTCTGGCGATGGCGACGGGGTGACGCTAACCTCGGAGTCTCTCAGGGGAAACTCAAGAGGATTTGGTCCTCGAACCAGGTTTTGGGCTCGCCGAACGCCCCGCGCTGGCCTCTGCGATTATTCCACAACATCTTGCACGCCGCAGATCCTTGAGCTTCAAGTGCTCTCGCCGTGCGTCTTGCCCTTGGCTGGGTCCGGGGCTTGGGGGATGAACTTTTCCTGGCTCTGCGCACGCCGGATTGCAACAGGGGCAAGCATGTCCAAGCATGGCAAAAGCATGTCAGTCTCCACCTGGCTCGTTTCTCTGAAGAAGAGGAAGACGAGGACTGGCACAAGACAAACATCTGAATCGTCCCCGCAACATTCTCTCGTGCCCCGCCTGCTTTCGCTTTCTCGGTGCGGTCATGGCAAGCCAACGAGTCTACACTCAGAGGAGTCTACTTACAGTCTACCTACAGTCTACTTGCAGTCTACTTACAGTCTACTTACAGCTCTGGCTCTGAAGCGTAGCAGTCGAGTGCATCTCTGGAGTCTCCTCTCCCATTCAATGGGGCAGCAAGGGGGGGGTCACAACGCCGCTACAAATCAGAGTAACAACAGTCGCAGTTGCACCCAACAGCCTCAAAGCACATGTGTGCATTTTCTCTATTGTTGAGAAGTCAGCTGATATCAATGCTCTCAGGATCACGTGATGTCTTTGCAGATCGGCAGCGGCACAGTGTCTCTGCGTGAGTGACACTCTCAAAGCTAAAGAGAAGACACCGTGAGAACACATGCTGTTGAAAACACGCGTTCCTCTCTCTCTTTCTCCTTCTCTCTTTGGAGTCCCTCTCCCTGTTCTTTAGCACACCCTTCCATCTTTGCTCTCATATCACTCGCCGCTTTCACTTTCTTCACCATGGAGAGCATGGCGGAGCACACAGCGAAAGCCATGAGGGCCATGATGTTGTGCACTTAAGGCCACAAAGGCCACATGCCCAGTGTCATCATGCCCACTGCCCGCAGCGCAAGCATCTGGAGACACCGCACACATCAGAGACATGTGCTGTAAATGGTGGAGGGAGGGGCGGCTCTCCGTTAGCACTGATCCGCGAACGCTCCTTGCCTGCCTAATTTTGCTCATTTCCTTCGGAAACGCATCTTTGCTGGGAACAGATGACAGGACAAAAATTTCGGCACGTCGCGTCGGCAACCCCTTGCCTCAGAAAACAACTGACATAGTCGACACACATCGCTATGCGTAGCTACGCGAAGCTCTTCCGCATCAGTGGAAGACCAAAAAAGAACTTCAGGATTGGCACGACGGCAGTGCCTGGAATTGTCAACCCTAATAATGTTACGAGGGCACCTCCCTGTCAACACACCGGCCACGACTTGGACGAAGCAGCGTAGGGCAGATGCGGGGCGCAGGACATGCACCAGTCTGGGTTAAGCGTGAAACTTCAAAGTGCCTCATCTGCTCAGCTGCTTCGCGCTTTAAAGACTGCACTTCGGCCGTGGCCTGGGAGGGCCCAGAGCTGCCCGACACCACCGACACCAGCATGCCCAACCCTGGCAGCTTTCGCAACGTCTCACGACACCCTTCACATACCTTCACCGTTTAGGAGGAGGAAAGTCGAGGAAAGTTGAAGAGAAATCACGGTTTACAAAAGTTGCAAAAGCCTGGCCCTGGCTCGGGACGCTCGTCGCGGGGGAAGTGAAGGCCCAGAACTGCATAAGTAATGCATACGAAATGCATACCGGTACCAAGCACAAAAACGATTTCAAAAGCTTTCTCTACCTTCCCACAGCTCCTTTCAGAGCGTTGGAAGTGACTCTGCACATTGCGGGCACGCTCGCCCAATCAGAACCTATTCTAAGCAGTCGGGCTGCTTTGAACCTGAAGCTATCACATCTGCCACATCTGCCATATCTGCCATATCTGCCACCCTAACTGCGAGTTGCGAATTCAGGCAGTGCACAACATGTGACTCTGGAGCCCGACAGCTGCTTTGCAACGCTTCAATAACTCACTGCATTCATTCTGCTCAACGCGCTCCCAAGGCCAAGCGAAGAAGCTTCTGGGGCCTATCGGCCCACTAGCACTTACAATGCCGCGAGAACGCTGTGACACAGAAAGGTCCACACACACACAGAGACACAGAGAAGACACACAAAAGGCGCAAAGAACGCACACAAAATCCACACAATGGCATGGGCAGCAGGGGGCGCCTCAAAGCATGACGCGGCTCTGGCCTGGAGCCATCAAGACGCCGATGGTGCCTCAGAGAGAACACATTAGACACTTAGAGAAGGCGCGAGAGCAGGAGGTGCGCACCTAGTACGGATGAGAGGCAAACATTCTCGAGCATTCAGCGTTCTCGTAGGCAACCCAACGGGGTTAAATCTAAATCCCGTTGAGTGACGATGAATACTCTTGCACCGCTCCACACAGTCTTGCTTGTGTACGTGTGTAAGCCGGAGTGGCCTTGCACTCACTGCTCTGATATGCTCTGATTCTGTGGAGCCAAGAGAGGAACTAATTTTGCAGAGAGCTGCGCTGCTTCACAGGCAGGCACCTTCGAGGCTCATCAGGGCTTTGCCCAGATTCACGACATTGATCCCACCTAGTCCCACCGCAATAACCAAATTGAGGGTACTGCCGGTTAGAAAGAAACTACTCAGTGAAGCAACCATGGGAACAGAAGTGGACACCCAGTCCCACCAGCTCATAGATTGCCTTACCTCGTTCAGCACTGTGGCGAGAACACCTTCGTTCCAAAGTTCGGCTGCGACTTTGAAAACGAAACTTGCCGTCACCTCCGTGTTTTTTACTATCTCCCCGGGTCCCCCAAGCTCGCTGATGAGTGTCTGCACCTTTGACAGAAGCGAGACATCCATGCTCACACGCTGCAGAAGTGCCTCGGATGCCGAGTTTGGGAGGCTCAGTCCGACGACGGATGTAACCAGGTTGAATGCGGGCAAGATGGTCTTGAGAAGTGCATCTTCACAGTCGGTGAGCTCGGTGAGCTGAAGGCCAGCTTTTTCACGATCTTCAAAGGCAAATCCCACATCTGGCTCTGGAAGACCAGCTGGCGCGGATCCAGTCCATGCACTAAGGAGAACCTCCTGCGCGTGTCGAACCAAGAAAGGTGCTAGCTTGGGATACCATGTGGCCAGCAAAGCCGAGGCCTCCCGGCAGTCCTGCTTCGAAATGTTCAAGCGCTGCACCAACGCGGAGCCTTGCAGCCAGGAGGCCTTCTCAACATCACTGGGAGTGATGCTGCCATCCCCGTCAACATCGAGCTCCAGGAAGATGCAGTCCCAAGCCTTGTTCTCTATTCCTTTCAATCCCTTTGAACCCGACGTTTCTGCACCGCAAGCTCTCGCGGCATCCGCCAAGGTAAAATCAAGATACGCTGCCAGGCTCGGCTGGTTTGGGTTCTGGCTTCCACGGTCCGACCCCTCACGTGGCAGATCCTGTGGCCCCGGCCTGGGTCGTTGCAGCAAGATTCCCGAGTCGTCTTCAGTTCCACTGGCTGACAGTGGAAAGCATAGAAGGAGCGCAAGGCGAAACAAACGCAAAGAACGCCAACGGAACTGTGCCGGCGATTGGTGCGAAGGCGGTTGGCCCATCCTTAGGGACAGTCCTGGACAAGATGGGTCGCTGAAGTCTTTGTAACTGTGCTCCAATTCTACAATTACTTGACCGCCAGTGTTGCGACCAAGGTCATAACCTTCGTAGTCAGCACATGTCGGCACAGGTCGTTACTTGTCTTCTCTCATTGCCTTGCTCTTACAGAAGCCTGACTTGACGCTGGCTGACTCTGTTCGACAGCACCCGGTGCTACAACAAATGAGGTCCTACATTGAGCCTCAAAGGATCCAATGTTACCTCTCAAGCTCAAGTGTCAGTATAAATATGTGTCAATGTGCAGATCTGATCTGTGAGGGCATCTGATCTCGCGAAAGCTTCAAAGCTCGAGGTCGGCACCATCGGAGTTTCTGATGTCCGAGAACTCCTCGAAGTCCATCGACTCATCGCCAGGGCTAAGAACCTGCCAAAAGAGGGCCCAGGCCCATACAAAAGGCCCGCTTAGACCCTACTTGCCATGCCTCCTTGATGCTTTCCTGCTCATTTGCCCGCCCTTCTATGGATGCAGGCCCCTTCCTCAAGTTCCAGTTCCTCCATTCTGCCTCACTTTCTTTGATCTGCTTTGGCTTGGGAGGGGAAGGCACAGGCGCTTCCTCGCGAGGTGTGCGAGGCGTGTGCGGCCCCAAGGAGGGAGGCAGGGCCAAACCAGGAACAGTCGGAGCTGCGAAGACGGGGAGAGCGGGCGACGTGCCAGGCGATGCAGCCGGTCCGCTTTTGCCGCCTGGGCCTGGGCTCGGCCCAGGACAAGCGAAGATGGGCAGCTGTCCACCAGACCGGTTCTGGGGAAATGCAAAGACCGGCAGGTTCTGGGGAACAGGTGGCATCTGGCCTGGATTGGGGCTCCCGTTCGCCATGTTTGACATGTTCGCGTTGGGGTACCCGAATACCGGCATAGCAGGTGGCGGAAGGATTGGTCCCGGGACGCCTGGGCCTGGGCCTGAGGCAGGTATATGGACTGGCGAAGGTGCAGCTGGAATTGACTGCGAGGATGTGTTCCTTGGCCTGCTGGACTGGGGCTGGGGGGACTGTGGCCGCGACTGTGTGGGTGCAGGGGGGGCAACAGGGACGTTGATGACCATCTGCTGTGGGGGCAGCCTCAGCGTGCATCATAGTTGCAAAATACGTCAGAACACAGGTCGGAGTTCTACCATCACAAGCTGCGTGCGTCATGACTGGCCGAAAGACCAGCGGCACCTGCCAAGAGTTCAGTGAGCTGAGTTCAGTGTTGCAGGCGAATCAGTAGAACTGCATCAATGCAACAGACCGATTTCCACAGTGATGGGACACTGCACGGCCCACCTGCTGGATACAGCTCCTTGAAGGCTAACACCCATGAGAGAATGCAGTTCAATACCCAGAAATACGGACAACCGCAAAGCCACAAATCTGGGGATCCCGCCAGAAGCAGCTTGTCATGCTCCTCATCAGATCCCCAGGGAGCGCACGATCGGCCTCGCCCAGTGTGGTCCCAGCGGCAGCAAAATCCGAAGGCCCGTTCAATATCTAGCGGCATCTAGCGCCTTCAGAGGCACGTATCTGCGGATCAAGTCCACTGCCTCACATGGCATGACAACACCGGCGAAGCACTTCGCGCCTCTGAACCGAGAGGTGCAGGAAAAAAAATGCCAAAATGCCTTCTTCGCCAACGTTTCCTCTTTTAGTCGACGTCGGACGTGCTGAGGATGGGCCGATGGTTTGATCTTGCAGCAGGTGCTTGGCTTCCGACTTCCGACATCTGCCGAATCTAGCGGCTGGCATTGCAGATATTGCAGGAGGACATCATTCTCTAGAAATGACAGCTGCGTGCCAATTTAGAGGTTACTGCTTCTTCTCGCGCTTAGGCTTTCACATCCAAGTGGTATGCAACCGCCACGTCACCTTGACCATCAACGACTCGCCTGAGCTTGTACAACCATGTGCATGTAAGCTGAGGACAGCTCAATGCAGACAGTGACATGAAAGAAAAATCTTCATTGTGCAACTAAACTTTGAGAATTCCGATTCCCACCGATGGTGACAGTAGCGGTCAGCAACTAGCAGCAGCCAGTATCAGCAAATAGCAGTGCAGGTCCCTGGCATGCGAAGCGTTAGTTCTGAAATCTGGAACCTCTACCGGACATTCTGGGCGCTCAGCTCTTTCACGAAGCCGTTGACCCAAGTCCCGCAGCTTAGGTCCCAGTACCTGATCACCAGCTTCTCGGGAACAAGTTGAAGGAAATCGCAGCAAAAGTGACACTGACCGTCTAAAAAAACCAACAGCATCGCTGCTTTCGGGAAGCGAGATCTTGTCGCCCGCGTTGAAGCCGAGACTCAAGCTCGGGTCCGGCCTGGCTGTGGTGTAAGTTTTCCGAGAGCATGGGGGCTAAAGCGGCTGAAGCCGCTTGGCTGTGCATCTCAAACAGAACCGGACCATGGCGGACATTCCTCAAAAAGACCCTTTCAAGACTTGGCCAAGAGCTGTGTAAGGAACTCATAGGCAGCGAGCTTCTCGAGATACCTCCGTCTTGCGCGCGACTTTGTTCGCAACTATCAGCAGCCTTCTACAACTCAAACCGGCCTTTGCCAAAAGTTGATGACGACGGAGGTGCCTGCTTTTGGCTCGAGGACGCAACTTGAATGCAACTTCAAAGTGTGGAGTTGCCAAGACAGCCCAACTGGGAAAAGGACAGATGGGAGCTGCTTCCCAACATTTTCGGACACCCTGTCACCAAGCACCGCAACATGGTGAAAACAAACATGTGCCAATTCTTCACGCAGACCTCCAACGTCTGAGCAGCTGTTGGCTTCTCCACCATTTCTGCTGAAGAAAGGACCTGGGTGGCAACACAGGCAAAACTCTTTGAAGGCACTTTCGAATGAGCAGGCACTTCAGTAGCTTCAGCCGCTTCGGATGCTTCTGCCACAAGCGCTCACTACGAAGAATGTGCCTTTTTTCTTGCACCAATTCACACCAATTCACACCAGTTCACACCAGTTCACACCAGTTCACACCAGTGCAGCGCAGCTCACGTCGTCGCTCATTTCAGTGTATCGGATGGATTGCCAACAAAAGTTCCACGGATCGCCCGTGTCTCAGTCCCGCCTTCAAAACAAAACAGAGTGAAGCTCTCAGCAAGCGCAACAAACCTGATAACCAACTGAGAGTGCTGATGATGCTTGGCCTGCATCCTTCGGATAAGTCCAATACCTTGGTGGGCATGTCCCTTCATGCTGCAGGCAAAGAAGACTCACATTGCTCCGCGGTGCATGGGAAACCAGGCCAGCCCACAAAGCACCCATGGGATCAGAGCCACTGCCAACAGGGCCTGGGTGGCTGCAGAACATACTAGCCACACTGGCCATACTATGCGAGATTATGAGAGTCACTGCAGTCTTTTCTGCGGTTTTGCCAATTCTTCTGACAAGGTGCAGAACGCAAGGCTGGAACCTCCTCTGGAGTCTGGGCTTTCAATGTGCCCGGGCCGGCGAGTCTACAGCCAAAGGCCTCAATGTGCCAAGATGTGCCAAGTCAGAGCAAGTGCAGTTGCCTTGCAAGTCTTTGCGAGTCTTTGCGAGTGCCTCGGAGATGACGCCAACCAACGGCGCCCCAAGAAAGGAGGAGATGATGCCCTCCAAAGCTATCCTTCGTGCAAGCTTGGCAAATATCCATCTTGAGGTCCAGAGCCGCTTAGGATGAATTTGAGGCAGCCGCCACAATGCAAGGATCTGTGCTCTGTCATGACTGTCGCGGACGATCTCGCCACAGATGGGCCTCAAAGCGGCCGCTGGCGTCCTGAAGGTCGGCGAAGAACAAAGAGAACGAAGGCTCCAGGAGGGCACTAAAGGCAACAGCGGCATCATTCGGCACCCAGTCCAACACGAGACCACCTGGAAGGCAAAGTAGCCGCACACGACCAAGGAGAATCGCGCAGGGCTGGCCATCACCTTAGCCCTAGCAGCCCTAGCACTGCCATGACATATGCTTGCAGTTGAAGGGCCTGCAACAATCTGCAACACGCACAGGACGGGGGCCCGGCAGCCACGAAGAGCAGTGCACCCAGCAGGACAGAGAGCTGTGCGACGGCACAGCGGCCCCCATAGGGCCACCGGCGATGGAAGCGATCGCCCAGCCAGCCACCGAGAACACCACCAACTATCCCACCAAGGCCTGAGAAATACAGGCAAGAAAATACTACTTATGCCATACCTGCATCTCGCAATACATTGCACTGCTGCGCAATCCAGTCCTCCATAAAGCATGATCTCCCCCGCTCGGAAGTCGCTAAATCCGCTCAGTTGGAAATACAATGGCAGAAATGCAAAGCCATTCCATGGTATTCCTCCGGTAACACCTCGGCAAACATGCCGGGCCAAGCAGGGTTCAGACTTTGGAGGTTCCACCAGGTCCTACAGGGTTCATTGTTGAGCTTGGACGACCTTGAGAGACCATGATGATGAAGGACGGCTTCTTCAACACCAGCTGCACCACACGGGCCTGCCGGCCACTTTGATGCGCTGTCCCTCCCACTAGTTTGGCCCGACAAGACATGGGCATGGGCTTCCCTGGCAGCGCCAGGAGTGCAGGAGCAGTCAACATGGCGAAAGTGGCACGTGCAGTCATTGTCCGGCCGAGCAATACAACTACCTCTGAAATCTGCGGCAGGAGCTGCAAACCTGTCACAATTTGCCTGCTCTTCCCACCAGGAGCGACCCTTTGCAGACATTCCAGGCGAAGCCAGTGAGGGGGGAATGACTGTCACGACTGCGGTGGCGGCAAAGAAGGAGACGACGCCAACCACGGCATAAATGTATCCTCAATTCAGTCGATACCGTTCTGGGACTGAGGGTGCCAAAGGTCAACCTGCCCAGTCAAAGCAAGTCACGCCAGCCATGTACGCCGGCAACGAGCACCCTTGCAAAGCCCGTGGTGAGGAAGGTCACGCCAACACTCCTCACATGCTGTGCCTTGAAGACACCCGCCCAAAGGGTATATAGAATGGTATGCGAAATTTCAAAAGGCAACAAGGAGTATACTGCTTGAGCAAAGGCTCAGCAAGGTGCAAGCGGACTGCAGAAGCCCGAAGACCCAGCCCCGCTCGGCTTCAGGAACCAGGTCGCAAAGCATGGCTTGGCCAATCGGGGCCACCACCTTCACATTTAAACAGGTTCAAACAGCAAATCATCACGAGTCTAGAAAGCACTTTCAGCTGAAAAGAACAAAATCGCTCAGTGGTGACCGATGGTCTGACCAGCTCTGTGCTTTGGCTCCCAGCTCCCCCGATCCCCTCAGCCAGGCGTCCGCCAAAGCAGCGCCCATGACGAGCCGCAGCATCAGGTGAATCATGTAGTTTGAGCCTGAGTTGGTCTGAGTTGCTCTGAGCGAGCTGCTCTGAGTTGCTGCACTACAGGGGCTTTCAAAGCAGACGAGGGGCTCGTGGCAATCACGAGCGTTACCAGACCCCACAGGAAGCAGCCTGAGTCGCTGAGTTAGGAGTGCCGTGTCATGCCCCCAAGGTTCCAACAACTGCCCGTAACTTCACGCAAAACTACCGTGGCGTCACGACTTTTCTTTCCCTGATGGTCTGTGCGGGTACATAGCGCAGACTGCCGAAAAATGCGCTCTTTCAAGGGCTCCCAGAACTTCGGTTTTTGTTGTAAACGTCAGGGTTTTCGGCACTCACAGAAAGCATGAGCGCCGGTGACAACGCATCTTATGCGTCAGCGCACAGCATGTTACACAAAAGGAAAAAAACGCTGCAAATACAGGTGCTCTCAGCATGGTCGCCCTTTGAACAGATACATTATGTATTCCTCCCCCCCCCCCTTTCTCCCCTCCCCCTACCAGAAAGTTCACAAAAAGACACAGGGGAAACTATGTACAGCGTGCCAGCGTTTCCGGGCTCTTGGCAAGTGCCAAGTGCCCGGCAAAATTCCCAGCGCAAGTGCCCCCGTCACTACCCGTGCCCGGCAAAATTCCCAGCGCAAGTGCCCCCGTCACTACCCGTAGCTACCCGTAACTCCGCCCAAACGTCGAGAGGCCGCCAGCCAGCAGATCGCGCGGCGAGTAGAACTGCATCAGGGAGCCCCAAAATGGAAGAGCCAAGGAGAAGGCGATGCTCCTCTGGAACTGCTGCATCTGCTGTGCCACAGCTGTACAGCAAAGATCATGAGGCTTTGCGCATGGCAAAGGGAAGTCTTCGGGGGTTTCTGGTTGAGGAGACTTGGGCTTTTCATGGTTCTTGCAAAGGCGGCTCATCTCAGGAAAGCGTCTGGGCGAAATTCAGCATGCCCAGCTGCGACGGACCCACCTGGAGCACGACAGGCAAACGTTTGGCTACACACTGGTCACCACCGCGCTGACACCGTTTTGTGAGCTTCACACCTGGAGCTGCTCGGCGAGAGCCCCAAAGGTGGCTGGCAGCAAGGCCTTCCAAACCCATGGAGCAACTACCAAGTGTGCCTCATACCCGTCCAGATCACATCCACAGGTCCGTTTGGGACGAGGACTAGGGGGGCTGTGATTGAGAACTGAATGGGACATCGCGCATGACGATGTTTCTATCATGCTTCCTGCCTTCCTGCCTTCCTCCCTTCCCGCCTTCCTGCCTTCCCGCCTTCCCGCCTTCCTGCCTTCCTGCCTGCCTGCCTTCCTGCCTGCCTGCCCTCTCTCCCTCCTTGCTGCCCTCTCCTCTGCTTAGCAAGCGTAAGACAACATCAAAAAACAACAAATCCCCAAAACAAAAAATCCGATGTCGAAAATTTAGACCCTGTAGGCTCTACGTACTTCGGAAGACCTTGTCAGCAGCATCAATCGCACAGGCCTTGGTGGTACAATTCGGTAGAAGGCGCTGCATGATGCGTCTTTCATACTCTTCCAGCTTGTAGCATCACTGGCTACATGTCAGGTACATGGTTCAGAGAGGTCATTGATCATGAGCACTTCATGGACTGCCGCTTGCACATTCCCTGAGGTCCCATCCAGGATCACTACCTGCAGCGACTTGCCACATGGACAACTCGAATTGCACATCACATAAAGCCTCCTTTGAGCTGGGCCCTCGTCCTAGCTTACTTATGCTTACTAGGTTTCTAAAGGCCATGGAGCATTTCGAACTTTGACCGATACCGACGGAGAGCTGGCGATTGTCGGCATGGCATTTGCTTGCGTCTCTGGTCATTGGAACCGAAGCAGCTGCGACCCCCAAGCATGCAGCCTCACCATGCCTCGCTGCCCCTAACAAAGGCTGCAGCCTCTTCCTTGCTCAACTGCCTGCAGCGTAGGTTTCCAGCAGCTCGGGCAGCTGTCGTCGCACTCCAACTAGCCTCGGCACAGCCAGCACATGGTACGATTCCTTCCTTGCAGCACAGGCCAGACACGCCTGGTTTTTGCGCATGTCCGCAAGAACCAAGGCCATCAAGTCCACACGGAGGGCCCCGCGAAGCTCCTCCTGAGCTGGGAGGTGTTGAGGGAGATGGTCTCAAAAGAGTTGCTCTTGGTTGCTGTTGGTGGGAATCTTGGAGAACTCACTGCTTTTCTTCAGACGAAGTGCTGGGCTCTGCCAGATTTCCACGGCCTCGTGCGGCTCAAAGTTGCAGACGTCCCCATCGCGCTCCACCTCGCCTACCACGCCGGC